GGATCCCCATACCTGCCTTGAGCAAGTCCCAATTCTGTTTAGTTATTATAGCTTGGCGCTAGCACCGGTTAGTATCGACCCTTTTGCCAATTTCCAAGCTATACTGTCCTGTGTATCCTGTATGATGGGCAAGCCCGTTGATGATGGACGATCTTGTTGATGGATCCCCATCTACCTTGTCTTCCTTGAGCTAGTCCAATTGTGTTTGGTTAATTTAGGTCGACATTAGGGTTGGTTAGTATCGACCTCTTAAGGTCCTACCCGTGGGGAGGCTTGTCCGGGTTTTCCCGCTGGTCGTGCTATTATTTAATGTCTTCTAATTGGATTTGTGCTTGTAGGTCGGCTATAGGCCGACTAGATGTGGAGCTTGTCTCGTCTCAATTGATTTTTGGTTTCCTTCGAGTTCTTCTTGACAATTACGCTTTACATATGGTGAGTTTTCATTGGTTGGAAGTGCATTGAATATCGAGGACAGCCTTTGCGTGCCTCATGATTGGATGCAACAATGATGTACTTGTCATACGTTTGTCCCATGTAGATTTACTCTTTTGTCGCCAATTTGTGAGGTCTTTTCAAATTTGCAACTTTATATCTTTCTTCCTATTCTTCGATCTCATTTTACTTCTTGCGTCTTCTCTCAAAGTTTCTCCATTCTCTCTTTTAGATTTCTTGAGTTTTATTTCTTCACTAAAAGGTTTGAACCTTGGAGTTGTGCAAGCATTTCTTCTTGTTTGTTGTTGTTTGAGGTGGGAGTTCTTTGTTTTCTTTGTCATTTGAGTTTCATATACTTTGTAACGCTCCGTCGGCTGCCGGTGCATTATCATGCAAATGGTAAAATGTGCAACATGTTTAATTAACTAAACGCGGAAGCTCTATGTCAAATTATCCATTTATTTATTATCTTTTTAAGTGAAGAAACTTTATCCTTATTACCCTATGTATTGCAATATACAAAATAACGTAATGTCCATCATTACAACTTCTGTCTCATATCATTAAAATAACGTACTAATCATGTTCCTGCATCAAATAGGCATGACAACATTCATACTTATGGTGTAAGCATATACATGTCCTCAAATTAATAATAAAACCAGATTATTTAATCGAGGCATAGACAATTTCTATGCTCACATCAAATAAAACATACAAAGTCTCGCATATAATAATCATGTCCAAGTAAATACATGCATATAAAAAAGAAATCCATGCATGTCATGCTAAAATATCTACGTTGGCCTCTTGCCTCGAGAAGCATCCAGCTTATGGATATTAGCACTTGAAAATATTCCTCAAACGGGGTAAGATGACAATCTCAGTAAATTGGAATTCTTGAAGGATCACTTCGCCCCAAGTTCACTTAAGGTATACAATATATAAAAAGAAGAATAATATGATGCCATGTTATATATATATATCATGCATGTGTGTATAAAATCCAACTGATCAGAGAACAATATAGGCATTACGCACGCTAGCAACCTACCCGACACACCACACTTAGGACTTCCCACCGTGTGCGGACACCTTCCATACTCAGGGACTACCATCTTGTGTGAAACACTCCCACTTAGGAATTCCCGCCATGTGTGGACACCTACCACACTCAGGGACTTCCATCTTATGCAAAGCCAACACCATCGCATACATATATAAGAGTGCATCATTAACATATCCATGCAATATCATACCACATCAAAGAACCATATGGTGGAACAAACAGGGGATTAACCCGAGAACCAAAAGCTTATTTGTCGTATTTAGTTAAGTCCTCAAACAATAACTCGGTGTCTAACAGATCACCAACACGGAGTCCAACAATATCACAATATGTTTCCATAATGTACATACAATCAATATACATATTCTAGTCCATATTTTGTAGAGAGACTATTTCATTTCTGTTTTCCACACTTAAGGCTCTTTCCAAAGCCACAAGCACTTAATCTCGTAGGTTCTAACTTATATTCATTTTACAGAGGTCCCTACAGTTCATTTAATGGTCTTAGATCATTAAAGATGGTTCTGTTCGGGTAATTATGCAGAAAATGCAGAAATAATGAAATATCCAGATATTTTTTGGACCCATATCTAGATATCCGGATATGCATCTTTAGAAGACATATCCAAATATAAATATTCGAATATTGACTGAGTACATATCCAGATATCATATCTGAATATTTTGCGACAGAAATGCATAATTGCATTTTCACGAAGATATCCTTCAAGGTTCCATTTTTACTCATTCTGAAAGTCTAAGCTACCCTTTTTACATGTATACACGCTAGTAGTCACCTAGGTTATGATGTTTTCTCATTTTACATGTCCAAGACTTAATCTTTTTCATGAAATTCAAAGAGAAGGGGTTAGAGGCATATACCCAAAGCTCAAAATAGAGGAAAGGAGTGATCTTGGACCTCTATAGTCTTCACAACATCTCTGCCAACTAAAATCCCCAAAAATAGCTTGACCAATGATGGTTCTTTCTCCATAAAGAGCTTCAAAGTAAAGTGTGGTGATGGCTCTACCGCCGAACCCAAATAGACAGCACTTCCTCACCTCCAAGGCAGCACCTTGGACCTTAAAAGACTTAGTTTTTCTCCCCCAATATGTTGGTTTTCAAGTGTTTACAAGAGTTGGGTGGTGAAAGGATGAAGAAAGATAGTGTCTTGCTTGGTTTCTATGGAGGAAAGCTTATGTTGCTTGGAGAGGAAGAAGAGAGAGAAAAAAATCTAAGTGTGGAGAAGTGTTCTACGTAGAGATTATGAAGAAATAAGGGAAATAAGGGATTTTAGTCATTTCTGACACTGATCACTTAATTTTTCGATATTAGTCCTAATATCTATGACACTCATCTTTCTTTCAAACCTTGTATTACTGACTTAATATATTTTCTAGAAATATTCATTAACTTATTTTTTATTTTTCGGTTAATTTCACCGGTACATGTTTTTCCCGCGAAATACACATGATTTATACTTTTCTCCTTAAAAGGGATTTACTATTAATATTTATAATTTCTCTCTAATTACTTTATTTTAAGTTATGGAGTAATTTCCTAGAATCATAATTATATTATAAAATTCTAATTTAACGATACGGGTTCTTACATTACTTCTTCAACAGTATGTCGCTACTCTAAAACTCCTCTTTTACCTTTTACATTTGTTGTTATTCCCTACAATGAGTGGTTCTAGGCGTCACACTACCACAATAAGCAACGATGGGGGTGGCAACATATGAACAAAATAATAATAATAAAAACTAATATTGTAAGGGATAGATTATACTTACCACCATCTTTTCTTATCACTTCTTACCACCAATTTTATTATCGTTGAATTAAAATCAAATCAGTGGCTCTTACTTGATGTTATTTTGTAACCTGACTGGGATCAACAATAAAAATTGAGAATATATCTTACATTGGTGCAAAGTGAAGTCCATATGCAGCTGACTCAAAACTATACATGGGTCCCATCATCAATTGTTTTCTCTCTCCTCATTTTCTCTTTCCTCTAATGTTTTGAGTCAGCTACAGATAGATTTCACTTTGCAGTAAGCCAGTAACATAAGAAAATCTTTTATATATATACATAAGAAAATATGTTATATATATATATATATAGGAAATAATCCATTTACAATTTTTTTTACAAATTACACTAAGTATGACCGGTCATACGCTCTTGATTGAAGTATGACCGGTCATACTTAGGTAGTTTGTTAGAGAAACAAAAAGTTTGTAAATATAATTTTTCCCTATATAATATATATAGAGAGGTAGGATCCTTCAACACCGGTGTCAAATTTGAAGTTTGACACCTCATCTGAGAGCCGTTAGATAAAAAAATCAATGGTATCACATGCTTGCAGATCAGAGTCGTTGATCTTTTTTAATATAACGGCGCTCAGATGAGGTGTCAAACTTCAAAATTGACACCAGTGTCAAAGGATCCTACCTCATATATATATATAGGGCTTACCGTTTCTCAAGTTACTTGAGATAATTTTATCTCTGGCTACTAAATCATAATCATACAAAAATAGATCAATGGTAATAAAGGAAGAGAGAGAAAAAGGAAATCATAACCATTCAAATGTGAACAATTAATATAAAAAAATAAATAAACAAAAACGACATAGTTTTGGGTTGCCGGAGATAAACTTATCTCAAGTTGCCAGAGAAATATTTTTTCCATATATATATATATAATTTATTCTTAATCGATTTTAATTTATTAATTCTGACCAACTGGTTGAACCAATGACCCACTGACTCAGTACCTTGACCGGGTCAATGACCTGGCCGATTTTAATAACATTGGCAGTAACATAAGAAAATCTTTTATATATATATATATATATATATATATATATATATGTCTTTTGTAAGAGTTTATAAACAAAAAATTTGTAAATATAACTTTCTCTCTCTCTCTCTATATATATATATATATATATATATATATATATATATATATATATAATTTATTCTTAATCAATTTTAATTTATTAATTCTGCCACCTATTATTAATTAGTTTGGAATAAGTAACAAATATTATTATTATAAGAAATCTTATTCTATCAACTCTTTTTTTTATGCCTACCTTACTCTAACACTAATAGATTATAATCTCAAGATGAGAGAAAAATATTGAATTTTAATTAAGATTTTAATCTAACGGTATTGAAAAAGTGATAAAAAAATTAGGCATAAAAAAAATACAGGTATAATAAATTATTCCTATTCTTATTATTATTATTATTATTGAGATTATCACTTTATACAAACTTACAAATGACTAGATGATATATTCGCAACTGCAAATGAACACCTCAACTCATGTTGAATTAATATAAAATAACGAATGGTAAACACGTGACACATTGGTGGTGCCCCAGTAGCATTTATCCGTAGCAATTATTGTTACTCCGAAGAAAATAACAAAAGAACTATAAAACTATAAAAAAAAAAAAAAAAAAAAAAAAAAGAGGAAAAAGCTCGTTTAATTACATGGAGTAAAAAAATTATACTGTACAAGCGTTGTAATATTTACATCCCCCAACAAAAATGACGACAGGAAAACATACATAATGTACAAGATACAAGCATAAATTACTCGGAGAAAATATAGTAACTTCTTTCATGATTTTTGAATTGATATCTCAAAATTCCCCATGCTCTTTCATATTTGCTTCATGTTGTACCGTCCAAGGTTGTAAGGAAATAAGACCAAAAAGGAGGCCTTACAAGTTATCCAATATTAAGAGGAGGGTTCTGAAGCTTGGAAGTGCAGAGATGAAACGCGCATATGAACTTTCAAATGCAAAATAAGTGTATTGATATGATTCCCATTTTCCTTTCTCCTCACTAAAGCCAAAAGGCTTTGTAATTCCAATTTAAGGCCCACTATATATAGTTCACATTCTACTGTAGAAATTATTCCAAATTTCCAGAACCTAGACATAATTTAACTGCAAACTACTTCATATTAGCTCGATGCAGGATCCGCCCACAGCCCCAAGCCTTACCTTTCCCTTTTTCAATAGCAGCCAACAAAATCTGCAAAAAGTTGGCTGCATCTTCTTGACATGCTAGTTCCAAGTTTGTCTGAGGAAGTGGAAGATGGGTTGGATAATGGTTCCAACGCACAGCTCTGGTTCTGCTACCACTACCTCTCTTAGGAGAATGTTGATTTTGCCTCAACAAGGAATCTGGTATACTACCAACAATGTGTACAACCCCTTGACCACTGTCAGCATGTATTATATTCTCCAATCCAATCTCCCATTCAATCGTCCACTCCAAATCAGCAGGGATGCCACAAAATTCAGGCTTGCTCAAGTTTATCAAACGTGGACTGAAAACAATCGATACAAATCTTTCTGTTAAGACAACAAACTTACCAGCTTCTTTAAGGGATTTGCAGGCCACTAATTTCTCATCTTTGAACTTTAAGCCATCATCAGCCTCCATAATGATTGATGTTCCAACTGCTTCTTCCCATGAATAAGGTCTTAATGGAAGTTCACGGCAAAGTGGCCTTGGAAGCCGCACCCTAAAACGTTGTGATCTTAATTGATTGGGTTTACTACGTTTTCTAATACCGAGTGCAGTTTTACCAGTAACTTCAAGTATACTAGCTGCAGGTTTTGCCACAAGTCCTGTAATCCCTAAAGCAACTCCTGCAGTAAAGAAATAAGAAACAGAAAGCACAATCAGTAGCCAAGCCAAAAAAATATTCTCTCAAGCAACAATTGCAACTGGCAATTCTTAAAGTTGCTTCAAATTTGTAAGCGTTCAAAACCTTTCATTCAAGTTAACTTACCCGAGAGGACACCAGGAAGACCATGCCTCTCAGCTCCCCTTACTGGTGACTGGAGAAGACCAGTGAGTCCCTGTAAATAACATAGGTCAGCGCAACTCAATAGAATACATAAAAAAACATTCACATCATCATCATAATTATTATTATTATAAGTAATACAAAAAATAATACACGGAAAGCAGGAATAGACCTGGAAATGTACATGTGGAGAGGCTGAAAACAAAAAACCAAACAAAATTGCATAGGTAAAAACTCAAAGGGAGATGCTAGTTAGGTTAAGAAATACACTAGAGGGAAAAGGGAACACCCGGTACAAAAGTGCCCCAACTTGCGAGGGTAGAGGTACTCTTATCCTTATATTTTTGCAAAGATGTTTCTCAAACTCGAACCAGTGACCTTTCAGTCACAAGGAGCAGCTTTACACTTTTTGTATACAATGTCATATCTTAATCCAAAGGTGTTTTATGTGTAAATAGAAAATGTTTTTTTGTTTTTGTTTCATTTTGGGCATTCTGCACTGTGGAAAGGGGACGGCTGCATCAGAGAGAACACAATTTTTTTTGTAAAGGTTTAAACATGGAATCATTCACATACCTCTAAGACTTCATTTATTACGCCTTTACTATCAGAAGCTACAGTTGCCTGTTGTTTTTCCATCCTTGAAACTGCTTGGTCATCATACGTAAATGCGACAATACCCTAGACCAAAAAGAGGCTAGCAATGGTTAAAAACAAAGTAATTCTAATAAATCAAACTACAATTACTTCGAAGCAAGAAACACCTTGCGTGCAGCTTTACTGAATTGAGTAGCCGCATCGCTAATAGCATACACTGTGTTGCTTAAAAGACTAGTGGTGCCTTGAGCCATGCCCATGATAAGTCCAGTAGGGCTCTGCCAATTGAATCAATATGTTGAACTAATTAGTTACCAGGAGGATAAAAAATCAATGAAAAGGGCCAGCGGATTTAGGACTTTTACCTGCATAATGCTCTTTGCAGGCACAGACAAGAAATCTCTAATGCCAAGCCCCATGCTCCTTGCAAAACCCAAGGGGTTACCAATAACACCAGCCGAACCGAACAACTTCAAATTTACAAAAAGGAACATGGTTGTCATACAAATGTGACTTGTTTATGGCAAGGCACTATGCCACAGTAGAAATTACAAATTTAATGATGATTAGGTCATATTACATTTCCTTGTAATATTAAGTTATAAATAAGGAAATTAATCATCCAATTAGGTGCAAATCAAAATATTCAGATAAGAAGTTTTAACCCCAATTCAAATTTATGAAGATAAGAATTACATTAATGATAACACGTCACAGAAAGAATGAACATGTTGCAAAATTCAATATAAATAATTGACAAGAGTTTGATGATTTTGGGCATTCATACATACTTGACATCGCTAGCCTGAATAATGAAGAAACCCAACAGCAGTTTGCGATACAAATTAACTATTTACCTTGTAAGTCTCATGAAGTAGTTGGCGGTTATAATGCCTAATTAGAATCTCCTGAATGGATTCCCAGCTGGCCATATGATGTGCAATGGTTAAATGCTTTAGATAAATATGCGCTCCCTCAACATCAGCTAGAGCCATAAGACCTCTCTGTAATTATATATAATCAGTTGTCAAAAACTAGAACACTTTAACTTGAATGTGAAAACGAAATATTATTTCTTAATGAATAAAAACTGAACTCAACATTATAGTATATAGATAACTATATAATTACTTTCGCAAAATAAAGCTCAATTTATGATAAGTAATAATCAACCCTATTAACAATGAAACTAAATTGCTGGATGATAAAACTGAATCTTCCAAATCAAGTATGATGAGATTGTTTTATGCCAGAGGGAGTGGCATAGTCAGCACACCATGTCAAGTGCTTCGTGTGTAGTAAAACCCCATGACTATACATAGACCTCTTCCTGTAGTTCACTTGATTCTGGAAGACGGATGATGGCATGCAAATGATATGATAAAATGTAGTGAGGATGGCATCACTCAAACAAAGTGGCACGTTGAAGCGAAGGAGCAAGGTATGAGTTGTTTAAACTAGGTATCAATTTCCTTTTGGCTAATGCCATTCTGTTGTGGGGGTATGAGCACACAAACATTGGTGCAGAAATGCCTTGGGAAGTGAAAAGATTGAAAAGGAGTAGAAAGATATTCACATGCATTATCATTGTGTAGAATTCTAATCAGGGTACCAAATTAAATATCCTATTTGGCCTTTACTTTGCTCTGTTTTCATTCTTCTGAAACAGAAGCTTCAGAGTCAATCATTCACACTATATGGATCTTATTTGGCAATATTATTGCTACGTTTTCATTCTTAAATATATTTGACAAGTAATGACTTGAGGCTTATATTTTTTGAGAGACTTGAGGTTAAGTTTATTTTTTATTTTTTGGTCAATTCATTCCTAGACAAAGAATAATGCTGCGCAGGTAAATAATATTAAAGATTATATATATATATATATATATATATATATATATATATATTAGTAGATTAGATCATTAATATTAATTGATGATATATTTATAATTTGAGAATTGGAGTTGGCTATTGTGGATTAGCTGTTTGTTTGTGTAAAAGACCAATTCAACCCAAAAGCTTAAGTTATTGGGTGAGGCTATATTAATGGTTTTATATATCTCAACACGTCCCCTCACACGAGAGCCTACTGGGCTCGAAGGGTGGACAATGCACAGGCCCACCTACCTGTGCGAAGAAAGAAATTCCACTAAAAATAAAGTGAGGGGCGGTGAGGATCGAATCCGGTACACCGAGGCTCTGATACCATGTAAAGAACCAATTCAACCCAAAAACTTAAGCTATTGGGTGAGGCTATATTAAAGATTTTATATATCTCAACAGTTTGTATTTGGGATATAGAATCAGTTGTTTGGGTTATGGGTTATCTTGATCCAAGTTGGAATAGCTATCCCAGAATATTTATAGTACACACCATGTGCATAGAAATCTCTAGTTTCTCTCCTACAGACTACAGTTTGACTTGAATTTTCATTGATACTCTTGCAACGGAACTTGAACCCCCTACTTCAAAAGAAAAAAGGAATCCTACTTACATGGATAAGAAATTCCTTGGATGTGAGGATCCGATTGTGAAGCATCCACGGGGCACTGGAAAAACTGCGTGTATAATTTATGTCAAGAGGGTCTGTAAATAGTAAACATAGGAAACTAAAAACTGCAGTTGGAATCACCATAAGAATGAGCAAGTCACCTCAAAGTCAATTTGATAGGTGCCAATTCCAGCATTTCAATATAAATTTTCTTCTGTGTTCTGGCCAACAGATAAATTTCTTGCCATGGGGCCCCAATTGGAATTATTGAAGGTAATGATGCCTTTTTTTTAGATTTTTCATTAAACATATTAGAAATTCTTGGAGGACATTGGTCAGCACTTAATCTGAAATTCTCTCTAGTTTGAACAAAGGAGGATGAATCCCTTAATGATACCCCATCATAGTGATCCGAAGATGGTATGATTCCATACTGCAGCCCAGAAGAGATATTTGTAAAGAACTCAAATAAACTTAATATGACTCCTTGTTCAATCTCAAGATGGAAATCTGCAATCCTGCAAGCATAAAATCCAATATAACAAGAAATGACTTTAAAAAAAAAAACAGAAACGGTGAACTGTAAAGTTGCAACAAACTTAGAGAATAGAAACCTCAATTTTATGTATTCAAATGATATAAATGAAATGTCTTTCTTCCTCCACTTTGACATTTCTAGGCAGAACACAGGAATAGAAGAACTGCTGCAGGAATTCATTTGATTTAATATTTCAATTCTCTTTCTTGCAACATCATCCCTCGATTTCATATTGTCAACTTGGCAGGATCTGTATCCACTATCGAAGGACAACAAAACTGGATATGGTGTCGAGCGCAACTGGTTATCAATTTGTAAGAATGATATCAGCATTGAAAGATTTTGCCGATCCAAACTTTGCACGAGATCGATTTGTATATCCTTAACACAGGCAAAAAGCAATTCCTACAGAAATAAAAGTATGATTAACAGCTATTAAAGAGATCCAGAAAAGAAAGTTGACAGTTCACTAACCTGCGGGTATGAACTAATCAAAGAAATCCCAATATACGGAATAAAAATTGATATTTTCTCCGTGTATTCTGAAGGCCTAACTTGATTGTGATCATATAATCTTTTCTCTGCAGCATGTGGAACACTTGATTTCCTCACATCATTGAAAATATGGTAATTTGAATCAAGAACACTGAGGACCTGTAAGAATAAAACATTATCTATGAAGGCAAGGCTGTGATTTTTCATGTCAGATATATAAAATCAAACTAAAATGGAGTCACCTTTGTTGCTCCCTCTGCATGGACTGATAAAAAGAAAGTCCTCTGTGGCTTCTGGAATCAACATTTACGCAAGCCACCATTAGAAATCATGGAATCTAGACTTGAGTGCAAGAATTTTGTATTTATGAATTCTACAGACTTCAAACTTGTATTCAGTCTCAAGATAAATTATCATTACGATGATGGCCAAAAGAAATTTTCATCTTCACTTCCGAAACATATTCGTAAGTGTGGTGAGAATAGCGCCAAAAACATTATATCAGGCACATTGAGCACACAGTAATTTGACAAGATGGAAACTCCCAAAAATGAAAAAAAAATAAAAAATTATAGTATCTGATCTTGAGACCTATCTTTAGAACTCAAGATGACACCCTCTATGTTTGCTCAAATCCCCAATCAATTGTTTTATATTTGTAACAATCTAGATAATATGACCTATATGCTTAAACATGTGGAGTAGTGTTAGAAACGTGTATATAATTAGTGTAAGTTCAGATTCATTAACTATATTTTAGTAGCCAATCCATTAGATTTATTTTCTATAATTGGGCCTCTTTATTATTGCTTTAATTATTTCATGTGAAAGTTATAGCTCCCAATGTGTATTCAAACACACAGTTTATACAAACTTATACCTCCTTGTCTCTCTCTCTCTCTCTCTCAACACAAGTAAGAGTTGAAATATGGACAATTCTTAATATTATTTCATAAGTAATCATGTACACAGCTTTACAATATATAAAGCTAAATGGGAAGAAGTCCTAATAATGGCTTTCCTAGTATAAGGCTAAAAAATAGGGAAATAATCAGTCCTATACTAAGGAAAGCTATTCTACCCAATAAAAGAGAATCAAATAAAAAATAATTACAATATATACACCCAATTTTTGCAACACTCCCACTTAAGCCAAGGAATGGATATTTTTCATTCACAACTTGCTATTAATATCTTGAGAGTTGTAGGTGGAAAGTCACTTAGTAAAGACATTAGCTAACTGCCGACCATAAGGGATATATGTAGTAGTGATCAATCCGCTATCCAATTTTCCCTTGATAAAGTGGCAATCGATCTCAATATGTTTTGTCCGGTCATGTTGAACTAGATTATGTACTATATAGATGTTTGACTTAACAACTTCATACATCTTTTGTACCTCACTCTAAAGATCATGTACAATAATTTTTAACCATAATAATTCATAAATAACTTGAAATTCTACCTCTGCACTTACATAACAACCACATTTTGTTTTTCACTTCTCTATATTACTAGACTCACAAGGAGAAACATACAATAGCTGCAGGTTAAAGGCCGATTTGTTATAGACTCGGCATAGTCAGCATTAGTGTACACTTCTAATAAAAACTTTACCCCTCTACAGAACAATAATCCATGGCATGCAAGTGTTTTTCCCTAAGATCGGGCATAAACTGGCTAATAATATTGACTGCATAAACTACATTTGGCATAGTAGTATCCAAATATATCAAACTTCCTACCAATTGTTGACATTGTCTTTTTTTAAATTGGGGGCTCTCCTCTTCATAGGGTGGCAATTAGGGTTGACACGATACAACACAAATACAATTAACATGAAAACGACAAGAATTTTTTTTTCGTGTCAAAACCTTCAACACGAACATGACCCGCAAATTTTGCGGGTTGACACAACAATAATAACCTGCAAAATGAAATTTAAGAATTCTCAACATTGACATGACCCACTTTTTACGCGGGTTGACACAACCCGACACAAAAGCACAAGTACAACCGCAATTACAAATTTATAATGTCAAAATGGTAATTAACCAAAAATACATGTCAAATTCATGCTTGCGGGTTGACACACTACATGACATGAATTTTTGCATGTCATATTTTTTCAACATGAGCATGACAAATTTAAATATGGGTACGAATTTCCGTGTCGTGTTTGCATGTCAGGTCAAGAATTGCCACCCCTACCTCTTCACTTTCCCAGTTTGTGATTTTGCTTAATAAGGACATTGGTAGTTATATACCCAAGTTTTCCAACTTCATTAAGAAGATCAAGAACATACTTATAAGTAAAAATACCTTGCTTTGAATATATTGTGTCATACAACCAAATCTCCCAAAAGCTTATGATATTAAGTAAAGGCACATGAATGGTTTCTATATTATACCTCTAACATACTAGTACTATCCCAAGGAAATATGTCCGCTTTTTATGATCGTTAATTTGAAATTCAATATTCAACCTTCTTGTAGGAGACATTTCTCAACTGGATCATCCTTTGTTATAATGATATCATCTACATAGACAAGAATAGTGAGTTTTCCTCCTAGTGAGTGTTTGAAGAAAAATGTTTGATCTCCTTGGCTTTGCCTATATCCCAAAGACACCATAACTTTGGTAAATTTCTCAAACCAAACTTGAGGAGATTGCTTTAACCCATATAGGTTCTTCTTCAACCTGCAGACTTTATTCCCTCAAGTTATGGAATCAAATTCGTCAAATTCTAGTGAGATATCCATGTAAACCTCATCTTCCAACTCACCATTGAGAAATGCATTTTTTACATCAAACTGACTTAAAGCCCAATCAAAGTGAGTAGTGAGGGACAATAAGACTCTCAGTGTCATCTTGGCCATTAGAGAAAATGTCTCCTGATAATCAATGCCAAAGGTTGGGTGTATCCTTTGCCACTAAACTTGCCTTGTACTTGTCAAGCGTACTGTTATAACAATACTTCAAAGTACAATCTCATCTGCATCCTACTTCTTTCTTTCTGTTAGGATATCAACAACTTCCCAAATCTTATTTTTCTCCAAAGCACTTATTTCTTCATGCATGGCTTGGAGTCAATTCTTATATTTGAATGCTTCTTTCACTAATGTAGGAATTGCGATAGAATCAAAGACAGAAACAACACAGAAAAATTTTTGAAGAGACAAATTTAGAGATAGGATGCTAGGTACAAGACATTTTTCATTTCCTCAAGGCAATTAGTAAGTCATCAAAATACTAAAAATTTAAAATTTTAGGCTGAAAAAGTGAGAAAGTAGTTTCTTCAATACTTACTGGTGATCAGAATGTTGCAGTTGATGTTAGGGCATTGAGGAAAGTTTTCTCCTCTATACGCCAATTTGGGTGTTCCTGCTTTCGGCAAATTGACAAAGGGCATTATGTCCTCGTCCACTGAAAGTATGCATAAGAATCAACTAGAGACGCCAAATGATGACTGAATGGAGAGCAAAAAATAATCAATGGGCACAAAAATGAGTGGGAATCACCACTTGAGTCACCATTGGAGGGGCAATTGACAGATCCAAATAAAGGAGGACACCGCGAGCATAGACGACTATGGACCGGCACAAATGGTGGCTAGGAGCGTGTTAGGACCCATTTGCAGGGTATGGGACTTGGAGCCCCACATTGGTTGTATGCGCAACTAATGTGAGGTTTATAAGACCTTGGGCACTCCCACCTTAGAGCTAGCTTTTGGAGTGGTGCACCTCAATGTTCTTATCAAATGATATCAGAGCCTTCCATTATGTCTCCCAGTTGCAATCGAGCGGCCCGGGTGATGACTCCGGCATTGCAGTGATCGGCCGGGGCTAGTAAAAGACTAGCGCAAAGCCAGCCCGAGTGAGCGTCGAGGCTACGGAGCGTGGTGGAATATTAGGACTCATTTGCAGGGTATGGGACTTGGGAGTCCCACATTGGTTGTATGCACAACTAATGTGAGATTTATAAGACCTTGGGCACTCTCACCCTTAGAGCTAGCTTTTATCAGTGTATTGTCACGTTTCAGCTAGAAGATCACACGTGAGGTTACGCACAATAGACAAAGAGCACGAATGAAGTTGCTGCTCCGGTTGTGTCTTTTCTCATCATGTAGATCGACAAATTCTGGTTTAGATAAAAGCGTTTGACCAGTAATTTTCTGGCAGCGGCTAACAATGGCACATCTATTGGGTCTTCTTCCAGGGTGTAGATTGGCAGTTTCTGAACTTGATGGTGTGGGTTACAGCCAAAATAATCGGTGGTTGGCCGCAGAGGATGGTGATTGAGATGGCAAGAGAAGAGTACATTGAATATGGGTCGTATTTTAGTTGGGTCCTGCCATGCATCCTTCATATAATCAGTATTTTAGTTGGGTATATGGCATTTTTCCCTTTTTATTGTGAATTAAGGGATCACCCTCGAATATGAGATGTTCCTTATTCTAAATTTTTATTTTCGCTGGAAATATGGCTTTAGTAGAAAATCATAAATTTATCCTTCTGAGGTTTATCATTAAAATTTAGAACTTTTGACGATGTTACTAACAAAGGCATGACTGCATTACATCTTAACAGGGTGATAGGTAGAAAAAAAAGAAAGATGTAAAGGAACCATTTCAACCCAAAAGCTTAATCTATTAAGTGAAAGTCTTTTTAATGGTACTTTATACTTCTCTAACACGAGAGGTCACTGGGCTTGAAGGGTGGACAATGCACAAGCCCACCTACCTGTGCTAAAAAACTCTACAATACTTAATTATTTATTCATTAAATGGGAGGTGATGAGAATCGAACTCGTGAACACTTGGTCACGGAGGCTCTGATATAATGTAAAGGAACCATTTCAACCCAAAAGCTTAAGCTATTAAGTGAAGATTTTTTTAATGGTTTTTTATAATTCTCTAGCAAAAGGTGATACTACAAGATAGTGAACCAATGAATTGTACCAAGTACCACCAAATGACAGTAAAAAAATGGGTAACATGGGTGGATTGTAAAACAGTAAATTGAATTTACTAAGACAGAAGGATAAATTATTAGATGTGTTGGGCTATCTCATTGTCAAGTAATATCAGAAAGGAACAGAACGAAACTGCTGTAAAATTAACAAACAAATAACACACAAGATCATTCAACCAGAAGGAAATAGCGCACCTCATTGTTTAAAAATTTAATGAGACCATCATAAAAAATAAAAATAAAAAACTGTAACACGCCATTAACAAAAGATGCACAAAAGGAACATAATGTGAAAACACAATTTTTGTTTTTTTTTTTTGGCTTGGAAAATGCAAAATGGTTTACCTCAGAAGTTGATGGCAAGTAGACAGGCATATATTCTTTGACATCATCAAGGGCATATGACCCCAACACTCGCTCTCCAGGTACCTTCCATTTTGGTAAAAAACATTTTTAGGCCATGTAGTATGAAGTTTCTATTGTGTAAAAAAAAAAAAAGGTTTACCTCCACAATAAGACGATGAGGATAGCAGGGTTCATCCCAGGTGTAAGGACAAGAAGCGTAGGAGTGAATAACTGTGTCAAACATTTCACACCTCTGCTGATATATTCGCAACCTCTAGAAAGTAGCAAGAAAAACAATAAATTTCAATTACCAATGGATTAAGAATAGCGTGCAATGCCCATGCTTTTTTAGTGCATAACTTTAATAACTTGATAAGCCATAATGGAAAAACAGCCAGAACATTCATAATTCATTATCCATTAATGAAATACAAAGTGGCATTTGCTAAGGAACAATAAATACTTTGTCAGTGAAATAAAGGAATGGCTTTTCAATTGGTTTTATAATTTATAAATAATTTTACAAAATTTGAATATGCGATATTTTACCATAATATTGACAGTAGTATTTACTATTTCATTAATTTTTAAAATTAATAATTTGTTTTGACACTCAAGAAGTACATATCACTGAAATGTATGTTGTGGTGCATACAGTATGCATATATTGTAATTATCATTGATTTGGTTTTACTTTTATTAGATAAATTATGATAAGTTAGATTATAAGGTAATTATGTTAGAGATAAAAGGTCTGATTTCTCCTGATTTGTTTCCCTCGAATTAGCACTTTAATTAGGAAAGTATTTATTAGGCTATATATTGCAAATCCACGTACATGATTTATACAAGCAATAATATATAGATTTCCTCATATCTCAACTTATGTTTTATCCTTCTCTAACATGGCACCTGTAAATTGGACCCACAAAAAACAATAAAAAAAATAAACCAACTTCTTAACATGTCTTACCCACCAACTTTCGGAAAGCATACTATAACCGCCGCTAATTGTTGTCATACCTCCGTTACTGGTTGTGGTACTATCAACCTCAAGCCTTACCTAGTACCTACACTTGAAAGATGCACTCCATGTTCTACAACTTTCCAATAATCTGATCATTCATAAAATTACCAAAACCTTAAATTGCAGTAACTTTCTTCCATTCTTATTGTCTTTCAAGATCTTGCCACAAGAAGAACAACTGGCATTGCTAAGGAGTAGAGAGAGTTGTATTTTCTCCTCAATAGACCAGATACTGGTAGTCCCAGTCAAAAACTGCTAGTCACTCAATCCAATTCCAAGTCCCCTGCTTGACTTTAATACAGGGGTCTATGTCGCCCTCTTTTTTCTTAGTTAAAGTCTAAGTTTCCCTCTTTATATTTTAAGAAGAGCCTTCATTTTCCTTTGAATTGGCTATAAACATCACCAAGTAACATTTTCTCCTAGTTCTCACAAAAGTATTGAACCTTTTGATCTTGTTCATTCTGGTGTTTGGGGCCCCTGCTTTTGTTTCTAATATTCCTGGCAAAAAAGGGTTTGTCTCATTTATAGCTGACCGTACTGTCTGGTCTTTTACAATAGTTACACCAATGCCCCTCTTTACTAGGCTTGAGGAAAAGACCTTGGTGATGGCTTAGCTGAGACCATAGCAGATCCGTCAGTGGGCTCAGAATTAGAAGGAGTTGGAGTAGTAACTTTAGATGAGAGCATAATGGATCCTTCGGACACTTTGGTATCCATCATGACAATCCAGGGACTTTCTTCACCCCTGACAGTGTGAAAAACTTCAGAAAGAGGAGGTATTTTTTCCTTACCAAAAATTTGAACCCGAATAGGATCATACTCTGAGTTGAACCCACAAAGAAAGTCAAAAATTTGACTTCTTCCCATAGAGGTGGCCAGAGAGGCTGCAAAAGGTACCAAGGATCAGACTTTGATGACTCGTCAGTCTACTTCAGATTCTCTTATTTGGCTTTATCATAAGCGTTTGGGTCATCCTCCTTTTAGTTTACTTAAGGTTTTTTTATTGATGAGAGTGACAATAGTGACCATATTGACAATAGTGACGATATCGACCGTGACCTTGATACGGAGCTGGAGCTGGAGCTTCTAACTACGATGAGAGTGACAAATGTGCTACCTATGGATATGATGCCGAAAATAGACCGAATTTATCTCACCCTTCAATTCGAATTAGCAAAAGCAATGTCTCCTTGCATAATATGGATTCCAAACATTCATGATCTGGATGTGAATGAGTCGAATTACTTATCCTTTGGTCGTCTATGTTTCCGTCTTTGTTTGTGTCTCAGTCTGTTGAGTCTTTTAATTGTGATGTCTGTCAGTTTGCAAAACATCATCGTGTATCCTTTCCTTCTAGTAAAATAAAAAATATTGAACCATTTACTATTATTCATTCTGATGTTTAGGGCCCTTCCAAAGTCCCTAATATTTCTAGTGCTAAATGGTTTGTCTCTTTTATTTATGATTATACTCGGATAACATGGATATTTTTTATGAAAGATAAGGCAGAAGTGACACAGTTGTTTATTCAGTTTTATTATATGATTGAAACCCAATTTGGTAAAAGTATCAAACACTAGAGATCAGATAATGGTACAGAATATGTTAATCAGTGTCTTTCCCAGTTTATTAGAGACAAAGGAATGACTCATGAGCTCACATGTGTGGATACCCCTCAACAGAATGGGGTTGCTGAAAGGAAAAAACAACATTTGCTTGAAATCACTAGAGCATTGTTGTTTCAGACATCTGTACAAGAGCTCTCTATATAAAGAGTGCTGAAAGACCTAATGGGCTAAGCCTAAAATACACTTCTAGAGTATTCTAGCTATTACAAATAAATAAATAGAATACTAATTCTAATATTTACAACAATTTATATCGCATGGTTCATACACAATTGGGAAAGTCTATCAAGCGTCTGCGCTTTGACAATGGTAGAGAGTATGTGAACTAGCCATTCTTTACCTTCCTAAAGGAATATGGAATAATTCATGCACTCATATTGGTAGAAACACCTCAACAAAATGGTGATGTTGAACAAAAGAATAGACACATAATGGAAGTTACAAGAGAACTACTCTTCCAAATGTGTATTACTAATTCATATTGAGGGGGTATTTGTATTACTTGAATATAAAATAATATGTTGTGTATTGATCTAATTTAGAGGGTTACAATATATAGAGACTCTAATGGGCTTAAGTGAAAGGCCCAGACCTAATACAAACCTAATACAATCAGAATTAATTACAGACTAATCATATCTAATCATAATAATTACAGACTAATCATATCTAATCATATTTAATATATTCTAACACTCCCCCTCAAGTTGGTGCGTATATATTGTGAGCACCAAGCTTGTTACAAATATATTGAACCCGAGGACCTCTAAGAGCTTTAGTGAAGACATCCGCTAGTTGATCAGAGGAGTTGACGAAAGCAGTCTTGATTTCTCCTGACTGAATCTTTTCTCGAATGAAGTGACAATCAATCTCTATATGTTTGGTCCTCTCATGAAAGACAGGATTAGAGGATATATGTAGCGCAGCTTGATTATCACAGATGAGTGTCATGGGTTGTTTCTGTTCACAAAGATAAAGCTCCTGAATCAACTCCTTTAACCAGACTAACTCACAGGTAGCATTTGCCATTGCACGATACTCAGCTTCTGCACTAGATCGAGAAACAACAGGTTGTTTCTTGCTCTTCCACGAAATTAAGTTTCCTCCAAAGAAGACACAATAGCCAGAAGTAGAGCGCCTGTCCGAGGGTGATCCTGCCCAATCAGCATCTGAATAACCACAAATTTCTGTATTTCCCTGATCTGAATACAACAAACCTTTCCCTGGTGCTCCTTTGATGTATCGGAGGATCCTCACAGCAGCATCCCAATGTGAATCACAAGGGGAATCAAGAAACTGACTAGCCGTATTAACAGCAAAAGAAATATCTGGCCTAGTCACAGTAAGATAGTTGAGCTTCCCAATTAGCCTCCGATAACGTCCAGGATCAGATAACGGCTCCCCCTGTCCGGGCAATAACTTGACATTAGGATCCATAGGTGTATCAACTGGTTTACTCCCCAACATACCAGTTTCTTCTGGGATATCCACCGGAAAAAGTCTCCGGTGGCCTGAACAGTGATTCTGACGGCGGGCGGTGGTTCCGGTGGCCGTCGGAGGTGCTGACGCGTTTGGAAATATCACTCAGAGGCTGTTTACAGCCCTAGAAGGCTTGCCGGAAGGACGCACGGCAAGAAAGAGGACTCCTAAGCAGTGGGCTTAGGTTTTAAAGCAAAAAAACAAGGTTTCTAAGCGGAAGCGAGGGTCCTCAGAACGAAAGAGCTCTGATACCAACTTGAATATAAAATAATATGTTGTGTATTGATCTAATTTAGAGGGTTACAATATATAGAGACTCTAATGGGCTTAAGTGAAAGGCCCAGACCTAATACAAACCTAATACAATCAGAATTAATTACAGACTAATCATATCTAATCATAATAATTACAGACTAATCATATTTAATATATTCTAACAGTATTAATGGCTGCATACTTGTTCAATCGGCTACCATCTCGAGCACTTGGTAATGTTAGTCCTATTCACCTTATGACTTCTTTCTTTCCTTCCATTCCTATCAGGCAAAGCCTCCAGTCTAATGTCTTTGGCTCTGTGACCTTTGTCAATGCTCATTGCCACTACCACAAGTAGCTTGATCCTTGGGCTATTAATGTGTCTTCCTAGGTTATGCTCCAAACAAGCACGGGTATAAGTGCTATGACCCTGCAAGTCATCGTTTCTTTGTTTTCAAGCACATCATCTTCCACGAGGATGTGTCGTATCATTCTTTCCTCATCCTCACCTTTATAGGGGATAATGTTCTTAAGTCCAGACTAGAAACTGAGTGCTCCTTCACCAAGTCTCTCCTTTACTCTATGAATCTACTGATGTTCACGAACTAGTACCTTTCTCTAGACAATAACCTAAATCAGCTCCTGAGCTAGCTAAAACTAAAGATGAGCAACCACAACTAGTTTATCAAAGTAAAAAAAAAAACCCAAATTGGTCCAACAAGCTTCATTTGTCTGAACTCACGGTTAAAACTGAGCATACAATTCTTGAATTTGATCCTTTGAATATATTGTAAGATAGACTGTGATAACCTATCCATTGCCTTATGGAAAGGGTATAAGTTCTATAACAAATACATTATCTCTCAATTTGTCTCTTCTAAAAACCTTTTTGTGCAGCACAACTTTATTTTCAGCCCTTGATTTCATTACAATTTCAACATCAATGCAAGAAGCATTAAAAGATGAAAAATAGGTTCAAGCGATGCATGAAGAGATGAGTGCCTAGGAGAAAAATACAACATGAGAAGTTGTTAATAGGCCAAGAGAAAAGGAAGCAAAGAGGTGCACATGGATCTAAATTTTGAAGTATCGATGTGACACTACACTTGATAGGTATAAGGCAAGATTAGTGGTTAAAAGATACACTCAGACATGTAGCATTGATTATCAAGAAACATTTGCACCTATAATAAGAAAGGTTGACTACTGAATTTGAAATTAAAGTGCTTGGGAAGCTAAGATTTCTTGGATAGAAGTTGCTTACTCCAAACATGATTTTTTTTATTTTTCAAAGAAAGTATACCCTTATTGATCATGACATAAACCAATTCTTTCAAAATAAATAGTTTTATATTATATCTCTAACACATCACCTCAATAAGAACTCTTTGGACTTGGAACATGGACAATGAACAGGCCCATCTACCTCGTATTGAAATCCAACATTTTTTAATGAGAAACAAGAGAGTGGCAAGGATCGAATTCTATAAAACTTGGTTACAAAAGCTTTGATACCATGTTAGGAATCAACTCTCCCAAAAACACTAGTTGTTAAGTGAAGACACATGAATAGTTTTATATTATATTTTTAAAAGAGCAAAACAACAAAATGGGAAGTGAAGAGGAGAGTCCTAAGTTTGACAAAGGACAGTATCAACAACTAGTAGGAAGATTCATAAACATAGCTCATACTAGACAAGATTTAGCTTATGAGGTTAGAATTATTAGTCAATTTTGCACGACTTACTTGCTTGTCGTGGACAAAATTCTCTAGTATTTTAAAGCTACATCTAGGAAATGATTGATATTCTAAAGAAAGGGAAACTTGTCCTCAGAAGTGTTGTATATTGATGTTGACTATGCATGATCCATCACTCACTGAAAATCAACCCTAGGCTAAAATATGTTTCTCTGAGGGAATCAAGTGCTTGGAGTAAGAAACAAAATTTCATAGCGAGGTTAGGTACAAATGCAGAATTTCGAGCTATGACTCAAGGTATTTGTGAACTATATTATAGGTGAAAATTATTTTAGATGGCCTCAATATAAGATATGAAGGATCCTTGAAGTTGTTCAATGATAATAAATGTCATTTGTCTAGTGCATAGTCCAGTTTATGCATGACGTAACAACACATATAGAGATCAACTACCACATCATTGAGGTAAAATTTGGATAGCAGACTAATCATTACACCATATACCCCTTCAAGCCATCAATAAGTTGATGTATTGACTTAGAGACTTCCCACTGAGAAATTTCAAGACTTTACTAACAAGATGGGAATCCATTCCTTAACTTGACGAGTGTTGTAAATCCAAAATGTATATATTATAATTATCATTGATTTGGTTTTCCTCTTATTAGATGGATTATGATAAGTCATATTATAGGGGAATTACGATACAGATTATAGGCTTGATTTCTCCCAATTTGTTCCTCTAGAATTAGCTAAATAATTAGGAAAGCAGTTATTAGCAATTATTCTCATTAGGCTAATGTTATAAATCCATGTAGATGATTATACAAGCAATAATATATAGATCGCCTCATCTCAACTTATGGTTTATTCTTCTCAACATATGGAACCTGTAAATTGGACCCATATAGAACAACTAAAAAAATCATCAGCAGCAACCACTAACTTAAAATTACAAATAGCTTTTAAACACATTAGACGCATTCAGATGAAAATATAGAGAAAGCTGAACATTCATATCAACATACGTAAATAAAAGGGAAAGCAATCCAAAATCAGATAATAAAAGCAGTAAACCTTCAGGCATCAGAAGGCAGTGCAACTATTTTAGAATTCCAAATAATGCAGTAGTGCAACTGAAAAACTAGAGACAAACCTCCTTAGAAAAATTATCAATTCTGTATGGCATATACCCTGTGTCATCATCTGACAAAAGAATCAAGTTGGTTCCTGAGTTTCCCTTAATGTTTCCAACTATTTTTTCATCTCCCATTGATATGTCAGCATTTTGCACTTCAACCCGTACCATGTTTGAAGTGCCAAAAACAAAGTTCCTCATTTTCAGTTGCGTATCACCCAGTTGATCCGGTAAAAAGCTGCCAGACCACTGCCATCCAGACTCATTATAACAAATTGAAACAAGTAGCTCCCTGAATCACATTCAGAATGAGAGTAGTAAGTGTGTTAGAATATGCAATGTATTGAAACAACTTGAAACAGGCAGCTCCCTGCATCACATTCAGAATGAGTAATAAGTGTTAGATTATCACATATGGTTATAGTAGAAAATCATATATACAATATAAAATTAGTTAGGATTATTGATATTAGGGATTGAATTATTGTAATTAATACCCACACTAATGTATGTATGGGGGCTATGTATCATCAGTTATGAACAAAATAACATCCTAGGTAGTCTACTCTCTAAACTTCAAGTTGGTATCCCAACGAAACCCCGTGCCAACTCCCAAGTAGCAAAACACCCAAACCTGTTGTGCCATTGCCTAAGAATCTGAACATGAGCAAGAAAGTTATAGAAAGTGACAGAAAAGCCAGAGAGGATTCTCTGAAGTTTGAGTGTGAGTGTGTTATTCATAAATTCAGATGAACTCGGTCATGACTTCCTACATTTATAGGAGCACGATCTGTTATCTGTATCTGACTCCTAACTGATAATAACAGCTGTAAATCACTTTTTAATACACCTGTCTAACATACTTGTCTTGTGTTGAATAAAACAGAAAAGGGAGACAATGTTTATATCTATGTCTTTCAATAGCACAATGGGACTATAACAATAACATAAGACTAATATCACGATGTGAGACTTCTTATCAATCTATTTTCAATACTTCTAACAATCTCCCTCAAACTAAAACTTATTGAAGTTTTAAGCTTATTAGATAAACCCTTCAACATCAACATCAACAACACTTTTATCCCAAACTAATTGGAATCGGTGGTAGATCAACCCAAATGAAAGATACAAATGGATTGAAAAAAGATAAAAATGAAAAATAAATAAATAAATAAAATTAACCAAATAATATATTTGGTCTCCACAAAACATGGTTGCAAAGTCGACAGGAATGCTCCAGATGCCGGAAAGATGAAAAATGCTGGAAAGGCAACTTAACACGGTGGCTGGAATGACCATCACCCTGAAAAGCTTGATGAAAAATATTGGATAACCAAGGAAAAGAGACTTCGCTGCAATGACTATAAGTGGAAATGTCCAGGCAAGCAAATATGCACAACAAGAACTTTCAAGCCCATGTTGTTCTTATTTACCTTTTAGGTCTCGTCGCATCATCATCTACCTTCCATGCTCTCGTCGCATCATCATCTACCCTTCAGACCCATGTGCTATAATCATCTACCTTTCAAACCCCTGTGCTATAATCAACTACCCTTAAGGCCCCCATGTCGTCATTATTTACGTTTCAAGATATCGCGTCGTCTTCGTTTACCCTAAGTCATCTTCCTTTATCTTTTAGGCCCCATTGTCAGTCATAATTTGTCTTTATCATTAAGAGTTGTTGTCCCCTTGTGTTCCCAAACAAAATTTAGAGTTCAAGTTTTTACTTATTCTTAACAATGATAATATGAAAATAATTGTTATTCGTATTCTCATGTTAAAAAAAGTAAAGAGGGGCCATTGTGAACACCTATTTTTGTCCCTAAATAAATATATAAAAAAAAAAAAAAACGGATAAAGAAATGGACCGAAGTCCCACGTAGGTAGAAGTCATACCCCTTCTCTTGTAAGTCCCACATTGGAGAGGTTTTCCCCCTTTTTCATGCCTTCCACTATATATAAGGAGCAACTACATATGGGTCCACCCAAGACTCTTCCAAAAGTTTAACAGATACTTAGCTTAATACTAATATAAAGCTTGTGTCGTAATAAACAATTTTTTTGAAGAAAATTGAGATGGCTCTTCACAACTTGGTTCTATACACTAAATTTGTTTTCGTCTTTGAGATAAGTTTACTTACATTCTCTTTTTAGTTAATAATTATTTTTTTATGCTTTTTTTTTATCTTTCTTTTCCTTGTTTGTTTTATTTTGATAAATTAGGAATCTTTTTATATTGACGTGTGTTTTAGTTTAGAAATTTAAAACTATACCCTTATTTTTTTGCAAAGAGGTTGTTTTCCATATTCGAACTCATAACCTTTCAATCACAAAGGAATAGTTTTACAACTGCTAGAGGCTCGCCCTCTTTGTGGTTTTTTTTTTAATAGCTTAATTTAATCGTGACAGCTTGTTAATCTCATTGTTTTTACTTAGGGTGATTTTAGCTTTGACAACTTAATAGCCCGAATTTATTTGAACTTATCATTATGTATCAATTTTCAAAATTAAATTATTTTTATAATAAGAGCATGAGTTGAGCTGTGACAGCTTGTTATCTTAACTATCACAACTTGGTGATCCAAATTTTTCTTTAAAAATTGATAATTATCTTTTTTTACATAATGACAAAAAACAGTTTTGTTTTAAAGGATTAGTTGAGTTGTGATAGAATGTTAATCCCGTAGTTTTATTTAGCTTATTTTGGCTACTACAACTTGATGATATGAAGTTCTCAAATTCAATTAAATGAATTCTCAAAACAACAAAATTCTTTCAAAGTATTTTCAAAAATAAAAATTAACCAACACACATGTTTTCTAAAGAACGATATAGCTTCGAGTTTTCAATTCCATCAAGGTGTATGTTGAAGTATAATTTCTCCCATAAAGTCCAAAAATAAATTTTCACAATCTTAGTTTTCTTTGTAAAAATCAATTTTACTTAAATTAATTATTTGGGGTAAAACAAATATTCTAAAATTTTATTAATAATTCATACAATTAATTTGATGTAACCGTTTTTTTTTAAAACAGACGGTGAACGGTGTTAACCCCTATAATCGATTCCAGAATCCACTCTTATTTTCAAAGATTATTTTCTTCAATAAAATGGTTGTTCCAATATTTTCCCAAATAAATCTTAATGGCAACTCCGTTTTTTTCAAAACCAATTTTCCACCGACGCGTCAAGATCCTAGTTGCGAAACATCCAAGTGATATGAAGTCTTCCTTCGCTTTACGTCATTCGGTTACAATCTAGTTGCAAGGATAGTACATGGTGTCCCACATCGGAAACATAAGGTTCTTGTATTGAGTTTATATGAACTTTGAGCTCTCCTATCTTACAAGCTAACTTTTAGGGTGAGGCTCTTCTAAGGTTCATATCACATTCTTACTACTTGTTCTTCAGTAAAGCAGTAAATTCATTGCTTGCATCTCTCAGTCATCTCTTGGACCATGAACATTAGACTTTGGTGCTTCTGATCATCTATATAGTAATAAGGATCTTCTCACATATCTTACCTTTTCTAATAACTTTACCTCCAGTAACCCTAACTTGCATTAAACAATTGAAACAATACTTATTCAAACATTTTCAAATTAAGAATTTTGGCAAGCTCTGATATTTCTTAGGTATTGAACTAGCACAATCTAGAGATGGCATCTCCTGAAAAAGGTATACTTTATATATCTCCATCGTCAGCACAGTCTAGAGATGGATCCCAATGTCAAACTTTTACCCGACCAAGGGAAGCCGTTGTCGAATCATAATCTATATTAGAGACTAGTGGGGAAATTATATTATCTCATATTAACGAGACCAAATGTCTCCCTTTGTAAGTGTGGTAATCTAATTTCTAGATTCCCTGCGTGACTTGTGAATGCTTTGGTTAAAATAATTGTTCAAAGAATTGTAACATTTGTGAACAGAAACCGACGAAACTAATATGTGACAATCAACCTACACAACAATCCTCAAATCTTGTCTTTCATGAAAGACTAAGCACTTTGAGATTGATTTGTTTGAGAGAAAATTTAGGTTTGAGAGATTAAAATAGCACTTCATAACTCCAATTAAAAGCTTGCAAATGTTTTTACCACAGCTCCTTAAGTCAACTATGTTTGTGACAAGCATGACGCATATTGTATATACGCACTAGCTTGAGGGAGAGTGTTAAAATATCTTGTCCAAATATATAATATGTTAAAATATCGTAGATGTTTATGGTAAGGTATTATGTATATATTGTAGAATCAGTTGGGATAATATATATCAGAAATTGAATCATTGTAATTAATATATACACATATATATATATATATAGAGAGAGAGAGAGAGAGACTACGTGTGGTCCATTTCAGTCACACAATTTCATCCTACTTGATCTACTCTCTAAACGTCAAGAAAGTGGAAGGATGATATAAAGAAAAGATAAAATGCAAAAGAGAAGTGTGAAAATAGTGCCAAAAAAAATAATGATTGAATTGACAAGGCCTAATATTATGTTGCAAAATGAATTTTTATTATGTTGATCATGCATACTTAATTTTAGGAAAATTGGATATTAATAAGTATTTCATAAATATTTGAAATTTCTTGTATTTCTAAAATCAAGTTGCACTTAATTTTCTCTATATTTTTGGTGGAAATATTTTGCATAACATAGTATAGGGCAAAATCCTGGTGCACAAGGCTCCCCGACTTTATGAGGATAGGAATAGGCGTCGATTCTTACCTTTATATTTTTACAAAGAAGTTGTTCCCCAAACTCAAATATGTGACCTTTTCTGATCACAAAGGAACAACCTTATTGCTACTCCAAGGCTCGCCCTCTAGCATAACATAGTAAAGAAACAAAAAAGGAAGTACACACAAAAGGCCAAACAAATTGAGTGTGTAAAGAACCAATTCAACCCAAAAGCTTAAACTAGTGGGTGAGGGCTTTTTAATGGTTTATACTATTCTCAAACACGCCCCTCACACGAGAGCCCATTGGGCTTGAAGGGTGGACAATTCACAGGCCCACTTACCTGTGTCAAGAAAATTCCACAAGAGAAACTGGGGGCGGTGAAAATCGAACTCGTGACACCGAGGCTCTGATACCATGTAAAGAACTAATTCAACCCAAAAGGTTAAGCTAGTAGGTGAGGGTTTTTTAATGGTTTATATTATTCTCTAATGCTTTAATCATATTGTACATTAAATATAGAATTTTTGGCTATTAGAGCATTAATTATGTGTAGGGAGCATTTAACCTAACTAATAAACAATTGTCTCACCAAAAAGCTCAAACTGTTAAGTGAAGGCCACTTTAATGGTTTTATATTAGATATCTCTAACACACCCCCTCACACAAGAGCTCATTGAGCTTGAAGGATAAATGATGTACAGGTTCACCTACCTATGCTAAGAAATTCTCCTGTTAACTAGTTATTAGAAAAATGGCAACAATGACTATCGAACTCGTGACATTTGGTCACTGGCTCTGATACCATATAAAAAATCATCTTACCTAAAAGCTCAAGTTGTTAAATGAAGGTCGCTTTAATGGTTTTATATTAGACTTCTCTAATACTAACAGTGACCTAAAAAAGGTCAACCAATGATGTTACTAAAAAAATACTCCCAGTTAGACCCCAAATAACTAGGGTAGGGGAGAAGGTGATTTATGTATCCAGCCTTGCATATGCCACCAATGGTGTTATTAATTTACTTGAAATTGTTTTGAATCAAACCACGTCTCTATCAAACCATTACATTACAAATAAGCAATGGGAAACAACAGACAATTTGTGAACGAGAAAAGACCATGTTTTTTATAGTTCTTATAGTATAAACTACTTAAGAGTGCACAAGCTTGTACTTGGGCACCACATTGTGAATGCTTGAAAACCTAGGGGAATAAAAGACAGACAACCTCAATAATAGTACAATCAGATTCAAAGAAGACAAAAATTCCTTTTCCAAATTCATCAGATGATTAATCATTAAGTGATCATTCATTTAGTGGAAGCATTTTGACACGTATGCTGATCCCAGTGGATTCAAAAGGCAATATCGAAAAATATGCATGTGGTGGCAACTATAATTTATCCATAAACATCCAAGATACATACCTGGTCGTATCTGTCCAGTGAAGATGAGCATGCTCTCCGATTCCTAAATAAAAGAGGACATCAGTTCCCTTCTGCTGATAAGATATTTCCTTGCTGCAAGCATTGCTAATCACAAATCTGCATATTTTTAGACATTGTTCAGTAACATGGAATGACACAAATATAAACAATTATGTCTCTGTAAAGAACCCGTCATCGTAAAAGCTTTTCAGATAAGGCTAAAGAATGGTTTTCAACTAGACCACACATCCTCAAATAAATGCACTTTTCAATTGAAGGATGAATAAAGCGCTTTCCTTTTACAGAATTTTAATTAAGTCAAGAGAATAGGGCAGCAAGGAAAGATCAAACTACTGACTGCTTTATCAAGGGTCTTTAATCCCATGTCAAGCAACCAACCATCATAAAAGCTTAAGCTTTTAAGGGGAGGTCCACAAATAGATTTCATCAATAACAATATCCATGAAGACCAATACATTACCTGGGCTGGAAAGTAATTGCATTTGTCCTCCCAGCATAGTGTTCAGCAACCAAGTTAGATGTCACAGCTAGAATGAATGCAGAATTTGAAGACAACTGAGGAACAATGATAGTACTCGAACCACTTGGTGGTAACAGAGAAAATGGACTTGACCACAAAGAATATGGCAACTGTTCCTTAACATCTTCAGGAAAACATCTACTTACTTTAACAAAAACATCATTTACAGAAGAATTAGGGCTTGGAGAATACATGCATGGCCCAACCTTCTCATGCTCATGATTACCAGAACCCGAATCTCTCCAAGTTGACTGGATCCTTGAGCTTAGTGGACTCTTCAGTCTTCCTAAAGAAGAATTTCGAAACATAAAATCGCTTTTGCTTTGTTGCCTTGCAAAATTTTCATGGTAATTACCAGAGAATAAAGAGTTCCTTCGAAAACCCGTGGAATTTTGAAAACCATCCTCTCTGCATGAAAAGGTATGATTCTTCAGATAACTCCTTGGGTTACAGTGAACTTCAGCACGTAATTCATGGCTGGGTGTAAGCAGAGAAAGGCCATCCTTTTTAGAAGAAAATGTTTCACTTTCACCAGCATCATAATAAGAAGGAATGACAAATCCCCTTTCATTTGTTTCACCAGTAGTTTCCGTTATACACAGGGGAAAACCCATGCAATTATACAACAAAAATGGAACAAAAATCATGAGTTCCCTGCTACCAGAATATGCATCCATCACCTTCTCCACAGTAACATACATAGGGCCTACACGTGAGGGCAAGAAAATTCTTTTAAGGATGCATTCACAAGACAATACATACAAGACAGAAGTCTTGACATAAAATCAATTTACCATTTGAATTATTTGGTTCGAATATCAGGGTTTCAGACAATGAAAACTTGGTTTCACTGAACTTGGCCATTGTGCAGAAAGTTTCTAAACGAGGAAATTTAAAATCAGAATGCTTAAATCCATCAATGCAGATCTCCAGTCCGAGGTCGTGTGAGGGATCAATATGATAAACAGAAGTTTCCACCTAGAAAAGAAAATATATAAAATCTTCAGACAGTTGTACCACTATAATGAACAGGGGGAAAACTACCAATGCTGTCAAATATTATCAACAAGAGAAAGAGGAAAGGGGGGGGGGGGTAATTATATATAGAAACAGCCATCACGAACCTCTGAAACTCTCACAGTATGATTTACCCCACCACTCTCACTGATCAACATAATTTCCTTAGGAAGGTAGTTGTTAATAATTAATGGAGCACTTAGGATCAAATGATGAATGTAGTGCTTCTTTGCATCATCTGCAGAGACATTATTTTTCAGCCAGCCAGATGAAGTCAAGCTGATATTCCTAACTGATAGACAGCACCGAAATGGATGACTACTTGGATGAGATGGATAGCACACGAAATATTTGAAATTTCCTACTTTGCTATTTACTGAGAGAAGATTTGATAGGTTATGAGCTTCACTCCACAAGTAAGAGTTCCCCATCGGCCGCCACCTTACACAACCAGCTTCAGCCAAATGTAGTGGAAGTGGTAATTGTTGCCCGGGTTGTATCGGATCTAATATCTGAAGTAATGAAACTATATATCATACAAGTAAAATCACATAACAATTACAATGCACTAACGATCGAAATGGTCGAGAAGTAGTAGAAACTTGTGTACCGTTGGTGACACACCAAATGGAATATCAAACCGCAGCTCAAGAGGTGTAGAAGTTGCATTTAAAAGGACAACCTGTATGTCAAAAAGTTAGCTTATAAGGAGGGAAAAAGGATGCATGAAGTAATGGAAACTCTAGCATTATAAAGAAAATATAATCACTATGCACATACAGTGGAGTATATTCGTATTAACTTGCTATAGCGCAGCACTGAAACATCAAAAACAACAGGAACAACAAAAGTAGGGGCTGTATTCATTCTACCATCCTCGGCATTTTCATTATACGTCTTGGAGAAATTAACCTCAAAGCATGTTAGTCCCACTAAATCCATTGAAATTGGATCAGATGGCATAGATGTTCCTTCAAGCTGTACAATAATATAATGATGAGCAAAACCGTTTGACCTTTGCTCATTTAGACTATCAGAAGATTGAGAAGGCCTGTAACGGGAGAGTTGTTGTTCAGCATTTTCGTCCATGTATATTGGAATTGCAGAACCGGGTTGCACATATTTTGCATGATTCTCGTCAGAGTCATAAAGTTCATCCGGATTGACAGGTCCATGATATACATGATATAGAAGAGGCACAGAAGTTAAGTTTTGTAGAAAATAAGGAGCAGCACATCTTCTAGCATACATGTGTTCAGAACATGGTGAATGTGAAAGTTTGTTGCCTTCATGATCTTTCAATCCCAATATACCCAGGGCATCCAAGAACATCTCAGTAGAACGTGAAACACACTGCAAGAAACAAAGCTCATAAATAAAGTTTGTCTTTGGTAATTTTTCATAATGATAAGCTCAATGTATAAACAGAGAAAATACAAGGAGGGGACTAATACTAGTATAGTAAAAGGGTTATATTTATCTCATTCAACATGAGATAAACCAAATTCCTACACACACATAACAAAGGTGGGTCCCACCTTTATTTTTTCTCTTTTCAATTATTTGTGGGTCCCTCTTATAATTGTGTCACTGACATGAGATAACCTATCTCCATCAACATAAGAAAAATATTTCCCATAGCAAAAACCACAAAACAAAATAGTAGGCATAAATTATCAGGATTGAAATCTGGTTTCTGATGCAAAACCATGAGAAACTTTTCAAACCCAAATATAGAAGGAGGATAAAAAACAAAAATTCTCATGTTAATTTATATTATCCTTAGCACATAAGGGAAGAAGAGTGCAGGGAATATCTCTTCAAGCCAATTTATTTAATCATTCAAAGGAGACAATCATTTTAAGAGTAAACAAGAATAAAAAATATGAAGCTAGGACAACTGAACTGGACTTGTCATTATAAATTGAGATGCCAATGAATTAAATTTTACACTTTCGAAAAGAATTACATTATTATACCTATAGGGCCAATTGATGAGCAAATACATCTAACTAGTTTTACATTATCAGAGTAAAAAAAATATTATCCGATATGCTGTAACTTCACATCAAAATGATCACCCGGCATATCAAAAACCAGATCTAGTTATGTCCACATTTGACAACATACTGAGTGGAAAGAGATGATTTGGAGTGTCGTATTAAATAATAGGTTCTCATAAAGAAGATGAAATAAAGAGAACAAAAATCAATATACCTCAACTAAGGATTCCGTAATATTAATATTCAGCTGTGTCGTTGATTTGAGAATGATATTTGTTGAAACAGACCTGTTCAGAAGAACACTCATTTCTTGTTCCCTGACTAAAGTCAACAGAAACTCCCAAGGCTCAATAAAAGGCTCCCATGTCACCTTCATTTTGCAGCATACAACCACGTCAACAAATTGTTAATGCAAAAGCATCAAAACAATAACACTGGTATGCACCAGGGAAAGAAAACAAAAACAATGGTAATTTCACTAAATGCACCTTTTCAATGTTATTGTAGTTTACTTGAAGATTGCCAGTGACAGAACATTCAAAGTGCTTTCCAATTGCATTCGCATGGAAGAGGATATTTCTGACAAGAATCTCCAACTGAGGCCCATTATAGCTCCACTACAAGGAACCAGAAAAGGTTTATGAAAATGAAATAAGTGAAAATGCAACGTAAGGAATCAATACTCTAATCTAAAACGAATGGCTAATGGATCTTGACTCAACAACAGATGAATGAGAGTCAATATTTAGACTGCATTTATGAAACAAAGAATGTGCCTGTTCCTTGTAGTGTCAAGATTAAATCAAGTATAACAAACACACAACTCCCATGCACTTGCATGTCAAGATTACAACCTGTCCCTGTTCAGAACAACAATGTTCTAATGAAAGTTAAAAAAGTTAGTTAATTATATATAAAAAGGGCAGCCTGGTGTTATAAAGCTCTCACTATGCACAAAATCCAAGGAAAGGTCAAACTCATTGTGTGGGTCTATGATACGATACCACCCCCAAGGGCAATTTAGAGAAAGCAATTGGGCTGAGTCAGCAACAAGGCAGTTAGGAAGGAATATTCATGAAATGTGTTATGTGATGATTACTAACAGAATGGGGAAGAAAGTGGTACACAGCATGAGCAACGTGAAGACTATGCAACTGGTATAAATAGCAATTGGGACAGCCAGAGGGAGTATCTTTGGAAAGTATTGGGATCTTTTTGGATATTGGGAGGGACCCCTAAGCCTCTCGAATTGCTCAAGAATATCTTTTCTTTAACTTTCTGTATTTCTTTTCATTTTCTTTTACCCAGTTATTTCAGCACTTTTCATTTCAATGTTCCAAGAATCTGTAATTCTACTCCCTCATTAATCAATGTCAGAAGTTTGCCTCTGTTTGATTATCTTTTATTTCCAATTTCCTCTCTGTTACCTATCAGTCTATAGTAGGCGGCCTTATCTTGCATTGACAAGAGGCTGATTACATGAATCAAACTTATGTCCTTTGGATCACATGGCAACAACATCAACCATTGTTTAAATGAAATAAATAAAAGAAAAATGAAAAATGAAAAATGAAAATAAAAGCAAATAGCAATAGATGAAAAAAAATGTCAGCAAAGAAAAAAGAATCTGTACAACTTGAATTGAAAATACTATCAACATACCTTTCCATCTGTCAGTAGAATAGAAACCTTCCTCATCTGAAATTTAAAAGTAATGCCACTTGTTGAGTGCAGAGAAGATCCTGATTTGGGAGCTTCAAATTTTACAGCACCCCATAAATAGAACGCAGGATGCAGTAACCATACATCTGAATGATCACAGATAATCTCCCCTTTTAGATTGATGTTGTTTGTATCATTCATATAGAGTACAATGTCCACATGAACCTGAATTATATCAAAAAGTGGCGTTGAAGTATGCCTTCCATTCTCAACTATCATTATTACACTGCTCAATTTTTCCATATTGGACTTCAGTTGGATATCACTGCTTCTTATGACCAATTCAAAACCATTCATGTTGAAAGAAACAATAAGAAAACTTGCATCTTTTTCTTCAATTATATCAGAATATACACTTAAAGGTGTCACCTTGAGACCTTCAGTATGCTGAAAGTCCACACCAGGTTCCTCACTAGACCAGACAGGGATATGAATTGTAATACAAATGTTTTCTGACTTAATAATCAGTAATACAACATCCTCCATCTCTTCTAATATAAAATGTGATGAGGCACTTTCAGAATCAAGAAAAATGGAAGCATCTCTAACAACTGTTTTTTTTTCAGAATTAGCAGCATTGACAGACAAACTCTTTGATGGTGCATCTATAGGAGTTTTTTCCATATGTGCACAAAAATGATTGAAAAATTTAACAACCTCAGTCCACTCAGAAAAGTGAAGCCAAATATCAAGGGACGAAAAACAAAGGCCAAGTTCATTCTTCAAGTCAATAGATTTAGAAAAAGAGATGCCAAGTACTAAGGTTGAAGAAGTTGAGGTGCATTTTGCCAAGACGGAATCATGTGGAGAGTACAACACTAACTTAGAGAAACCCAAATCTAAGCATACCAAAGAACCATTTATCAAGGATGCAGAACAACTAAACCACAAATCACCCTTAGTTATTAATTCCAAAGAATCTTCTTTTCTATGACAGAAGCTTATCAACAAAGATTGAGTACAACATCTAACTTCTGTCCATATCATGGTTGAGGCCGTCAGGGTTGGAGAAATGGCTCCAGTTGCCTTTACACTTCTCTTTGAATGGAAGAATTGCAGAACATCCGATTTGAAACATTTGGATTGATCATCAACTGAGGAGAATTCCTCAATAACATCCCTTATGGCCATCCATCCATCATAAAAGTGGTCATCTGTTTTCAAAGCAAAATTCATCAGTACAATTAGATAACCCAAAAATATAAAAGTACATAAACAAGAAAAAGAACACCAAAGTAAGTATGCTACCTTCAACAATAATATGACAACTGCTGATGCTTGTCATGAAACATATCGACGAAGAAGAGCTTCTACAGTTAGATTCAATTCCATGTGGAATTCTGACCCAAACATCAGCATTTATGGGTGCAATTAAAGTACTCGTTATAAATTCTGTATTCCGTTCAATTGTTGCTAAGCCAAGCATATCATTCTTGAACAAAAGGAATGACACGAACAAGTCTCGGGCAAACACATTTAAACAATTATTTCTTTTGGCAAGCTTATGAATAGGAACTGAAGATTCAGCGGGGATGTCCTTTAATACATCGTCAAAACCAGAATTCTTAATGAAACTACAATATATCTGTGGCATTTCAACCTTAAGAAACTGATGTTCATTGCTTTCCACTGGCAAAATAAGAGTAGAGTCCAAGATTTCAAACTTATATGCAATGCTCATTTCATTTTTTACATTTATATCACTTTGCTCTATAATTGAAAACCGATCATTTGAATCACCATCCCAATCAGATAATGAAAAGTAACCAATGATGATGGAGAGATATTCAGAGGATAACATGCAGTACACATGCTGAATGCTGATGCTTACTTCCAACTCAGCAGTTGAAGATGTGTTCAGTCTTTTCCTTAACCGTACATTTAAAATAGGAGACAAATTTGCTGAGGAGGGACCCCATAGATAATCTTGAAAATTTCGAGTGCCCCAAGATGATGTAAGAACCAATCCTTCAGTAGAAAACAATATATCCATACTGTCTTCACAAAAAAATAGAGATGATTCCGATGTAGGCACCATGATTGTTCCAATAATGCATGATGAATCATGAAAATGAGCCCTTATTCCATTTAGGTGCAACTCAATGGAAAAATTATTAGAGGTGCTCACAATCCCAGATTCAAGAAAATATCCATAATCAGATTTGGACTTCAAAGGAGAGACATGCAAAACTTTGGACCCTCTTCTCATATTGGTTTTGGAACTTATGATTTTTCTGTCCCTCAGAGTAAAATATTTTCTCCAGTCAGGAATGGCATGTATGAGAGCACTCTCTAGCCTACCAAGAGAACCAGAATTGTAAATTGTAACAAACGGAAAGCAAGCCAAAGGAATGCATGCAGAATCCGCGGAACCCAATTCAAAATAATTTGAGAAGCCAAACTTTTGTAACCCAAAATTTGAGAAATTTTTTGAAATGTCAGCAGTATTGCCGGTAGAGGATTTCTGAAAACTGGTACTATAGGCAGACAATCGGTTAAAGAACCCAATAAGCAGTCCAAAAATATGCGGATAGCAATGGATATCAGCATTATTTATGCACATAAAACACTTGTGACAAACTAAACCAGTTCTGGGAAATTCATAATGCATGGCAAAACATGCATCAGCTGCATCAGAATATTGATCAAAATCAATATTTGGTTCAGAAACATAGTCTTCTCCAACTGCAGCACCAGGAGAAGATGAATTCCCTGTCAAAAGCACAAAACGGCTGTCTTTTTCTTCTTTCATTTTATAAGCACAGATCATTAAAGACTTCATACTGACAAAGAACTCCTGAAAGTCTGTAGAATTATACCTGTAGATAGTTAAGCAAAATAAGAAGTTTTGTTTTTAGTGAAATCAATAATTTGTTTTTACCTGCAAACAAGATAAAGATGGGGGCAGAGGAAAAAAGGTAAAAGGTAAGACAAGCAAAATAAGAAGTTTTGTTTTCAGTGAAATCAATATTTTGTTTTTTCCTACAAACAAGATAAAGATGGAAGGAGGGGAACAACAGTATTAAAATATCATGCACATACTAAAACCAATATAAGGCCACCTGAAAAAGAAAGGCAGTGTCGTTGAACTCAAAAACAGTATTGGAGCTTGTAAAGATCCATTTCAACCTAAAAGTTTAAGCTATTAGGTAAAGGTCACATTAATGTTTTTCCATCATATTTCTCGAACACATTCTCTCACACAAAAGTTCATTGGGCTTGAAGAGTGAACAATAAACAAGCTTATCTATTTGTGCTAAGAAACTTCATAATATTTAATTATATATTAATAGAATGGTTGCATTGAAGATCAAACTCGTGACCACCTGGTGAGAGGCTCCAATACCATGTAAAGAACCATTTTAACCCAAAAGCTTAAGCTATTCGGTGAATGTCACATTAAAAGTTTTATATTATATTTTTCTAACAAAGTTGAATTGCTAAATCAAGTACATTATAAGAAGCTATTTGTTGAAAATAGGATATTGTATTGAAAAATAATTAGTTCCACATCTTTTAGCTTAGTCATTCTTCTATTAGGCTTGGTCTATATAATAGACTGATGTAAATTCAACTGTGTGAAATAATATTTATCATTTCCCATATTTCAACTTGGCATTAGAGCTCTGATCTTGGAGCCTCGCTTCCGTAACAAAACCCTAAGTCTGCCTATTAGGGTAGTCATTTCCTGTCAGTGCAATCTCTGGCTCTATTGCGGATTAGTCATGCGCCATTAGTGCGCCTAATTGTCATGCCTTCCACTTAGGTCCATCTCTAATCTCCGACCATCTTGCAGTTGTCAGCAACCACATGCCGCCACCGGAAAAAAAAAATTTGACATATTTTCCAGCGAGCACCCACTCCATACAATCCAAAATATTCCAATCTATAGTTCTACAGCACTTTCGTGCTCAGAAAGTCCTTCACGCAGTCTCAATTGTGCCTAGAAATTTCAGAATCTTCTCCATCTCCGACTGCCACTCTCCACCAGTATTTTTCAACTCCGACCACCCAAAGTTAGAGTTGCACTGCTCAAAACGACCAACCACTAGAATCCAAGCTCCAACATCCTCCACACTTCGAGTGTGTACAATGAGATCGAGTTTGTTGTTCTGTGCGGGAAACCCACACGTAGAGTGTGTGCAACTTCTGTTCATCGTTGACCACGTCTGGTGTTGTCGAGGCCTCCTCTACCTAGATCTACCCATTACTTGCCCATTTGAGGCATTTTGTGACTTAAGGTTTGATTACCTTTTCCCTTCGTGCTTTCTTTTCTATTCTTTTCGCTTTCTATTGATCAGAAACAGCGATATCAGAATCTGATAACATCTAAACTGCTCAGAATATTCCAAAAACAATTGTCATGGACATGTCGATTAATCTCAATGATCTCCCGATGTTGCCTCAAACATATCGTCTTCCGGAAAAAGTTACTTGTCTTGGCCACAATTTGATTGAACTAGTCTAAAGGGGCGTCGTAAGCTAGTCCACAATGGACCTATTGAATTCCATGACTCTTGAGGTGAGTCAACAATGCATGTTCTTCACCTCTACGCTGGAGATTTGGAAGGTTCTTCGAAAGACATATTCCATAAAAAATGATGTCGCAACTTGGTATGAGTTAAAGAACCATATTGTTGTTTACCCAAAAAAAAAAAAAAAAAAAACCATATTGTTACTACCTGTTGAGATATATAGTCCCACATTGGTTATATGAGCAACTAATATGGAGTTTATAAGGCCTTGGGCACTCTCAACCTTTAAGATAGCTTTTGGGGTGGTGTATCTCAAGGTTCTTTACATGGTATCAGAGCCTCGTGTCCCGGGTTCAATCTTCGCCGCCCCCCACTTTCTCTTGTGGAATTTCTTAGCACAAGTAGGCTGGGCCTGTTGCATCATCCACTCTTCAAGCCCAATGGGCTCTCGTCTGAGGGGGCGTGTTGAGATATATAGTCTCACATTTGTTATATGAGCAATTAATGTGGAATTTATAAGGCCTTGAGCACTCCTACCCTTTGAGCTAGCTTTTGGGGTGGTGTATCCCATAGTTCTTTACACTACCAAACAGGGCTTTCTTTTTATGACAGCATATTATTGCATTCTGAATAGCCTATCTATATTGCATTCTGAATAGAATATAGATAGGGTATTTAAGTTTCTCTTTGGGCTCAACTCGAAATATGATCATATTCAAGTCCAGATACTTGGTAAGGAAAACTTACCCTCTCTTTATAAAGTCTCATACAATTAAAATTGAGGGCGCGTTTGGTACAGGAGAAATTTTTTGGTGTCTGGAAATCATGACTACCAGGAATATGATAGGAAAGTGAATTACCCAGGAATGTTATAAAAAAGTTGTTTGGTATGCAAAAATATTACTGTGATTTTTTGTAAAGTTTACTGAGTCTTTATTTGGTTGATTGTGAAATATTAATGGGAATGTGAGGTTATTTTACAAAAATAACCTCACCTTCACTTTATTTTTTTATTTTTTTTAATATACAGAGAATCATCGTTGTTTTGTTTTCGCCAACCTTCAAGGCAAGCTGTGACTTTTTTTATGACCCTCTTGCTCTGCTAATTAGCTTTAGCTTCACTTTATTTTTGAAAAAATGATAATGAAAGTTTTCTTTTTTCACATAGAAACAATGGATCTCCCAAGAGAGAGAGAACCATACATGGTGGTCTGTCTTGCCGCCCTCGCCGCTCCTTCGTTGCCGGTTGTCTTGCCGCCGTCGATGCTCTTGCCTTCGTTGCCGGTCTGCTCATGGATTTTCTCTTTCACCTGTGTGAATTTTTACACTTCTTCATCTGTAGATCTCCCAAAAGTAGAGTGAAGGGGGAGCACCAAAATGCAGACACGTTCTGGACAGGAAGGGCACATTTGTCCTAAAAAAATTGTGTCCAAATCCCTACACCCAGTAAACCAAAAAAACCACCCCTTTGGAGGTATTTTGAGAAGGGAAAATGATTCACAATTGTACATAATATGAAATGCAAGGCAAATCAGATGGCCTGGAAAATATTGTGAAAACTCCTACCAAACATAGATATATATGAATCCCACTTTCACTTTCTTGTCATTCCTAAAAAATTACTCCTACCAAACAGCCCCTGAAGAAAGTCGCAAGGGAATTATGATGGACACTAATCCCACAAGTGGTTCAGCTCTGATCTCGTCAAAATCTACTGCAAATGGTTATTTGATGGAACCTATAATTTCAATAGCAATTATACTATAGAAATAACAAGAAAATGGCAGTAACATAGCAATGGCAGTAACATAGCAATGGCAGTAACGAAACAGAGCAACAAGGCTCCTTATCCTAATTACAGACTTAAACACTTAACAATAACAAGAATTACAATGCAGAAAATAGACACCAAAGACCTCACTCACTCTCAAGCCAAAATACCTAGGCAAAAGAGATCCCAAGAGAACCTTTTCCAAAACCTCACTCCAAATATTCTGAATACATGCATAATAGAAATATCACCCTAAACTTCTATATAGACTAATTCCTAATTAATGGGCTTGGTTACTTTATTGAAGGCCCATCAATACTCCCTCTCCAAAATTCACTTGTCCTCAAGGTGAGGGAAGAGGACATGTATACACTCCTCCTGGGTCCCATAGCTTGAAGCATATTGACCCCATTATGCTTGAAACTGAAAAATTGCCATTGGAGCCCCTTGCACCACTGAAAATTGTTGATTCTGTCAGTTCTCTGTAAGCTGTGGCAATTTTGGCGGAAAAACGCAGGCTAATTTCAGCTTCCTGAATGTACACAAAATGTCCCTCAATTCCTTGTTCTTTTGGTTTGGGTTCCTGTAGCTGGCCTTTCCTGTGGCCCAATATTCTTGTTTGCACCAACTCAAATGTCATCACTTCAAGTATTGGGCCCTGGCCCACCAGAATTGCTGAAGCTAGTCAATGGGTAGAATAAAACCCATCTTTTTTTCTTTTAACACAGATTTCTTTTCGGCTTGGCCCATTAGGTCAAAAAAATGATTCAATCCTTGTAATGCCACTTCTGCCCCTTCTTCCTTTCTCCCTCTATGCAGCGTCAACTTTCTGCTTTCTCCTTCTTCTTCTTCCCTTTTATCTTTTTTTTTTTCTGTTTCTTCTCCTCCTTCGATTACTGATCCTTCTTCTTCGATGACTGTTCCTCTTTCTATTTCTTCTTCTGCGTTGATAACAGGCATGGAAACAACCAATAACACCTTGCTATCCTCAGCCCATTAGCCTAGGGTCATCATACAACTCAAATCAGCCATGGAAACAGCCATGAACACCACTGGTTTTTGCTGCTGCTCGTGTACTTCTTCTTTTCCTGCTTTTACTTCCGCTTCTGATATTTCTTCGATTTCGTCCGTCTCTTTTTTCTGTAGCGCTGTCATCGTCTCTTCTTTGCTGATTTTTGTTTCTTTTTCTACTGCCTCTACTGCTGCATCTTCTTCCTCTGCACTTTTATTTCTTTTTTCTTCTTTTTTTCCTTCTTCTGATTTTCGATCCTCTTCTTTCTCTGATTCTTCTTTGTCTTCTTTTTCTTTTTTTGGTTCTTCTACATCTTGCGCTGGTTCTGGATGCTCACATTCTTCCTCTTCGTTTACCAAATAAATCTCAGGTAGGTATTTATTTATAAAAGCTTTGGTGAAATCCCACAAACTCGCATTAGGATTGAGACAATTCCAACACCTATACCAATAGAGAGCACATCCTCTCAGCCCTCTCAAGGTTTCTGATAATTGTTCATTTTCTTCATATATTTGTTTTTCTTGAAAATGTTGTTCCATAGCAATTTGCCAACCCCAAGCGTCGTCTCCTTCTCCATAAAATGTTGGAACCATTGAATCAGTTGCAACCATTGAATCAGTGGAGTTTCTGCGTTTTTTTTTTTTAGATCTGTTCCGAATATTTTTTTTTCAGATCTGAATCAGATCTTGGAATTTTTTTATTTTTTTTTAAATCAGATCTGGATCAAAAACACTCCAGGATTGTAGTGCTTTGATACCAAATTGATAGAACCTATAATTTCAATAGCAATTATACTATAGAAATAACAAGAAAATGGCAGTAACATAGCAATGGCAGTAACGAAACAAAGCAACAAGGCTCCTCATCCTAATTACAGACTTAAACACTTAACAATAACAAGAATTACAATGAAGAAAATAGACACCAAAGACCTCACTCACTCTCAAGCCAAAATACCTAGGCCAAAGAGATTCCAAGAGATCCTTTTCCAAAACCTCACTCCAAATATTCTGAATACATGCATAATAGAAATATCACCCTAAACTTCTATATATACTAATTCCTAATTAATGGGCTTGGTTACTTTATTGAAGGCCCATCATTATTACTCTACTACATTTGGTCCTTCCAAGTCTAGCAAAGAGAGACGTTGATGCACATACTGTAAGAAATCTGATCACACGAGATATTTGTTATCGTCCTTATGGGGGGCAACAGGTTTTAGAAAAGCTTGGCAAGGCAACCAACGGGGGAAAACTCGTTTGACATCCGAAGACATGAATTCTCTTGGTGAGACTTCCCAACTAACTAAATATATTCATGCTCTTAGCCACAAAGAGTGGAGTGGCTTCAGACCATGATGGATACTCTCTGTAAGACCCTTAGCACTTTTTAACTATGATCGGTAAGAACTCATGCACTCATTCTTTTCTTGTTTCATACTGTAAAGAACCAATTCAACCCAAAAGCTTAAGCTATTGGGTGAGGCTATATTAATGGTTTTATATATATCAACACGCCCCCTCACACGAGAGTCCACTGGGCTTGAAGGGTGGACAATGCACAGGCCCACATACCTTTGCGAAAAAAAAAATTCCACTAAAAAGAAAGTGGGAGGAGGTGAGGATCGAACCCGGTACACCAAAGCTCTGATACCATGTAAAGTACCAAATCAACCCAAAAGCTTAAGCTATTGGGTGAGGCTATATTAATGGTTTTATATATATCAACACATACACTAATTCCAAAAGGTAATGGGTTGTCGATTCGGGTGCAACTAATCATACGATTTGTCTCACTAACACATTTCTTTCTTACCAACCTACTTCGGGTATTCGTACTATATCTGTCACTGATGGATCCCACACGTCAATTGTAGATTGTGGTAACATTCAAATTCAACCTCCGCATATCTTAAAATGTTTTTCATGTTTTTAAGCTCTCCACTAATCTTGTCTCCACACAGCCCCTAATATGAATTGTGCAGTAACCTTTTTTCCCACTCATTGTGTTCTTCACGATCTCACCACAAGGAGGACAATCGTAGTAGCTAAAGAGAAGGGCGTATTGTATTATATCCTTCCAGAATATATAGCAAGTAGCACCAAAGCTCAGTCACTGATGACTAATCAATAATCTAATTCAAAGTCTTTATCACCTACAATCTGGCTTCACAAGTGTCTCGGGCATCCATCATTTAGTTTACTTAAAACCATGTGTCTTTCTTTGTTTATGTATCCGTTGTTGAGTCTTTTCATTTTGAAGTGTGAGAAGTTGCAAAACACCACCATGTTTTTTTCCCCTCTATTGCAATAAAAAGTATTCAACCTTTTGATCTTATTCATTATGATGATTGGGGTCCCTCTAAAATAATTAATGTTTATAGGGCTAGATGGTTTGTTTCTTTCATTGATAATTGCACTCAGATAACATGGACATTTTTTATGCGAGACAAGTAAGAGGTGCTAGCATTATTTGTTTAATTCTATCACACGATTCGGACATAATTTGGTAAATGTATTAAACGGTTACCGTCTTATTGGGGAGAAATTGTGTTAATTGTTGCTTATCTGATCAATTAGCTACCATATTGGCTCTGTAAGTCCTCTATGTGTCATAATATCATTTTTCCCTTCTATTCTTATCTAACAGAGATTGCAACCTCAAAAGATTTTGGATGTGTTGCCTTTGTCCATATACATAAACAACACCAAAGTAAGTTGGATCCTTGAGCTCTAAAATGTATCTTCTTAGGTTATGCTCCGATAAAAAGGGATACAAATGTTATCACCCTCAAAGTCGAAAGTTCTTGTTTCCATAGCTATTACCTTTCATGAAGATAAGTCAATCTTTCCTCGTCCTCACCTTCATAGGGAAAGTAATTTAGAAGCTTTGATCAAGCCTTTCAAGTCTGAATCTTATTTTCCTTTGCCCTCACCTTCTCAGTTTGCCCCAGAGCCTATGCCTATATCGCACAATGAGCAGGATTAACAATGGATGTATCAAAGCACAGAGACATGAACCTTGGCGGCCTGCAAAAGCACAAACTAAAGAACGCAGGGACACCCACATTGTTGTATCAGAGAAAAAAGATCTCTCTCTAGCCTAACAACTATTACCAACGCCTGAACCACTGATAATTACTGAAAATACTATTCTTCCTATTTCTAAGGCTAACACTAATACTTTTGTTTGTGATGACTAGCCAATTTCCTTAAGAAAGGGAAAAAGATCTTGTACCCAACACACCATTTCTCAATATGTTTCCTTTAAAAAACTTTTTGTACAGCATTATAATTTTGTTCCAGCCCTTGACTATTACATTTCCTACATCAGTGAAAGAAGCTTTGAAAGATGAGACAAATTCAAGCCATGCATGAAGAAATAAGTGCATAGGAGAAAAATAAGACAGAGAAAATTTTTGATAGGCCAAACGGAATGAATGCAGCGAGGTGCAGATGGGTTTATTCCCTGAAGTATTGTTCAGATGGTACACTTGATTGGTACAAGGCAAGATTAGTGGTAAAAGGATACACCTAAACCTATGGCATTGATTATCAAAAGACATTTGCTCCAATGGTCAAAATTAACACAATTAAGAGTTTTGTTGTCCCTTGGTGCTCACTTTGACTGGACTTAAATCAATATGATGTGAAGAATGCATTCCTCGATAATGAATTGGAAGAGGAAGTCTACATGGAGATTCCATCAGGTTTTGAATATCTAACTAAGGGAAACAAGTTTTGTAGATTGAAGAAAACTCTATATAGCTTAAAGCAATCTCCCTGAGTTTGGTTTGGAAGGTTTACAAGCAAAGACAGGGAGACCATACTTTGTTTCTTAGTGAAAACTAATTGTTCTTCTTGTTTATGTAGATCATATCATTATAATAGGTGAAGATCCAATGGAGAGACGCTTCCTATAGGAAAGACTAACTACTGAATTTGAAATTAAAGACTTTGGGAAGCTAAGATATTTCTTAGGAATTAAATTAGCTTATTCCAAGCAAGCTATTTTTATTTGTCAACAAAAGTATATTCTCAATCTTTTGAAAGAGGCTGGAAAACTTGGGTGTAAAGCACTCCTATTGAACAAAACCACAAATTGGGAAATGAGGAGAGAGCCCCAATTGACAAAGTACAGTATCAGTGACAGGTAGGACGATTGATATATCTGGCCCAATCTAGACCAGATTTGAACTATGTTGTCAGCCAATTCATTCATGACCCAAGAAAAAGACACTGGCATATTGTGGAGAGAATTCTCCAATACCTCAAGGCTACTCTTGAAAGAGGGTTATTATTTCAAAAGGGGGGGAACTTGTCCCAGAAGTTTACATTTATTATTTCATGTTTCTATGTGGCAACCTATTGACTTGGAAAAGTAAGAAGAAAAATGTGGTTGTTCGGTCATGTGCAGAGTGTGAACTGTTATGGCTTAAGATTATTCTAGACGATATATCAAAGTAAGGTACGAAGGACATACAAAGCTATTTTGTGACAATAAGTCAATCGTTTGTACGGCTCAAAATCCAGTTTAGCATGACAGGACACAACATATTCAGATTAACTGCCCTTCATCAAGGAAAAGCTAGATAGCATACTAATCACTACTTCATATAACCCTTCTGGTAAGTCTGTTAGCAAATGTCTTGATAAAGGCCTTTCTATCTACAAATTTCAAGATCTTACCAGGGAAGTGGGAATAATAAATATTGATTCTTTTGCTTAAGAGGGAGTGTTGTAAATAGGCTATTATAGTGTAATATAATTAGTCCTTCATCTTTTAGCTTAGTCATTCTTTTGTCCAGCTTAATCTATATAATAATATTCATCATTTCTCGTATTTCAATTATATTCTACTCTCCCATCAAGATAGGACGAATTCACGCATGGTCCATTGATTGTTTGCATTCATATGATATCTAAAAAAAATTATTCATTTTTTTAACGATATTTTGTTTATAGTAAACAAACTACATGTGTCAAAGATCACAACTTAATACAAGTTAAAAGGTAAGGAGGATATGAAGAGTGTTACTTCAAATTGCACATCTGAAGTCAAAATGCAAATATAGTCCCTATGAAAATAGGCGGACAGAAGGACAATAATGAGCATACCGTATGTCCATTTCTTGTAAAGAAACCAAGATCTCTAAGCTATTATCTCCATTGTTTTCAAGGTCCACTTCCAGATCAATTGAACCAAGCTTTGAAATAATAGATATACCAAAAGTAGATGATGTTGGCTCAACGGAAACAATATTGGGAGGATTGGGACAGTTCAAGATTTCAGATTCACTCCATACATGCAATGTGCCCAGATGAGTGAACAATTCTATGAATGCTCCATATATTGATGGAGAGAAGTGTGCTTTAAGTGATTCTATGAGTACATAAACCTGAAATTAAGAAGTACAAGGAATCAAGAGAGACAGGACAGAAAAAGCAAAAGGAAAATTACTTTGTGTGGGAAACACATCTATGTGTGTACAACAAGCGTATGTTCAAGTTAGTTCAATTTATGTCTAATATGATAAGCACCTCCAACTGCTTCAAAACAGACTCATCACGGATCAAGCAAAATGCAAGGAAGAATGAAGAACTGAATTTCTCAAGAATAGAAACCATTTGTGATTGGTCAGAATTCATTATGGTGATCTGCAAAAAGAACAAACTATCCGATAGTCACCACAAACAGAAGGATGGATAAGAAATAAATAAATCAAACATAAAAATTTATACAGATTAAGAACCTGACCTTAAAATCATTTAGTTTAACATCGAAATAATGATATAGATCTTGAAGTTGAATGCCTAAACAAATCCCAGTTGTGGATATAGAATTTAAAAAGTTCTTCACATAGTAGGGTTGTTCCTCAACTTTTGAAGAGAAAGACTCAAGACCAGTTATCGACTTAAAGCATAAAGACCTTGACTTCATAACCTGTGGAAAAATAACATCAGTAAGAAGGCATAAACCAAATAAAAAAAAAAAGAACCAAAGTGTAATTTAGAAATGCTATGAATAAGCTGTGAACACAATAGCTATTATAACTAACAGCCAGTTCAGCAACTGACCCTAACCAAGATCTAACAGAATAAAGCAAATTCATCAGAAGAATCAGAACACAACTGAACCTATACCAGAAGCTAATCTAACAAGCTTTAAAGACACACATCGCAGGAGTTAACCCATAAACTCAATTACTTTTCATCTGTTTCACACTAATATAGATCTCCGTACTGCATTTATTTTTGCCAGGCTGAGGTATCAAAACAGCATTGAATTTTTTTTCTATTTCCTTTCATCTGCGGCAGAACAACAATGAGTTCACTATAAATTAACCATCTCCCTTTCTCAATCATCTGTCTCCAAAAGAATACTTCTGGACATCTGAGTTTCCTACAAATTAACCATCTTTCTTTCTCAATCATCTGTCACCAAAAGAATACTTTTGCACATCAAATATGGACAAAGACAATAGTTCAAGCAAGGATTTAAAACATACAAATTGATATTTGCATGCTTTTTCATACCAACAATCACTAATACTTCTATGAAACTCATGTAAGTCTTCAATTCTTACATCTCAGAAATATCTTGACAGACAGCCACTTCAAATCACCCACTACGTTCAAATCATTCTGCACCCGTTTGCAGCTAGTCACAGACTCACATTTCATGTATGCATTGTATTTTAACACTTCAACACCCCAAAACACCGAGCCTACGTGAAAGGTTGGTAATACTAAAAAAAAAACTGTAGAATAAATAAAAACTATTAGAGTCGAGAGAAAAATACATCTAGGGTGAGTGATGATTAGAAAGCCTCTCCAAAACATAAGGTTGCCAATCTATCCGCATGCCAGAGAGAGCAACCCCCTTGAAACAACCATGAATGCATAGAAAAGAGAGGCCATAAACATCATCCTATCAGATAACAGGTTTAGGTGCAAAGACACATCCTTAAAAGTCAAAGCATTTGTTACAGCTATCGATTTGGGACTGGGAATTAAAGAGTTAAATCAAGAGAAATTAAAAGAAAGAAGAAGAGGAAGAGATTGGAAATGTCAAAGATTGAACACGAGCTATTCTCTTCTCAAGGGAATTCTCCTTCACACTAAGAAATGACTCAATCAATAACTAACCATGTTTAGATTATATTGTTGGGTTATTTTTCCTTTTTAAAAGCAGGCATATTTGTAACAAGCTTCCAGCTTAATAAGCTTTAACTCGAGGAGTGTTGGAAACCATGTCAAGGTTCATTATGTCTAGATTCATTATGATTATTGGTTATATAATCTTCTCCCCTTTGCGTATTTTCTATACACACAACTCAACAAAGTTCTTCCATCTCAATTCCTCTCTTCCTTTCTCAACAAGGTCATCAAACAATAATAGACACAAATACCATATAAAGAGTTGAAAAAAGAGATGGTCTTATTGATAAAATTGTGTATTACATCTGTACAATTACTCTCTATTTAAAGAGACTAAATAACCTAATGGGCTAAGCCCAAAGAAGATTCTAGAATGAAAATAAATAAACAAATACTATTATTTACAACACTCCCCCTCAAGCTGAGGAATAGATATTTATCATTCCCCGCTTGCTAGTAAGCTCTTGAAACCTTTCTGAGGGAAGTCCCTTTGTTAGAATATCAGCTAATTGACGTCCAGAAGGGATGTATGGAGTGGTGATCAACCCGCTATCAAGTTTCTCTTTGATAAAATGGCGGTCGACCTCAATGTGCTTAGTCCGATCATGTTGAACTGGATTATGAGCTATACAAATGGCGGACTTATTATCACAAAATAACTTCATAGGTTCTTCACATCTTATTTTAAGATCACCAAGTATAATTCTCAACCACAATAGTTCACAAACGCCTTGAGCCATAGCTCGAAATTCAGCCTCAGCACTCGATCTGGCAACCATGTCATGCTTCTTACTCCTCCATGTCACTAGGTTACCACAAAGAAACATACAATAACCAGTTGTAGATCGACGATCAGTTACGGATCCAGCATAATCAGCATCAGTATAAACTTCTAAAGAGAGATTGCCATTATGCCGGAACAACAGTCCTTTACCAGGAGTGCCTTTAAGATATTGAAGAATTCTCTCCACTGCCTGCATGTGTTTTTCTTTTGGATTATGCATGAACTGACTTACAATACTGACAGCATAAGCAAGATCTGGTCTAGTATGAGCCAAATATATCAGTCTCCCAACTAACCGTTGATATTGTCCTTTATCAACTGGAGGACTCTCCTCTTCATAACCCATCTTGTGATTCTGCTCAATAGGAGTACTAGAGGGTTTACACCCAAGTTTTCCCGCTTCTTTAAGAAGATCAAGGACATATTTCCTCTGGCTGATAAAAACTACTTCCTTTGAATGAGCTACCTCTATTCCTAGGAAATATTTCAATCTCCCAAGATCTTTAATTTCAAACTCAGAGGCTAGCCGTGTTTGTAGAAAATGTTTCTCAGCAATATCATCACCTATTATAATAATATTATCAACATATACAAGGAGTACAGTTAGCTTCCCATTTTGGGAGTGCTTGAAGAATAGTGTGTGATCTCCTTGATTCTGTTTATATCCTAAGGTCAGCATAACCTTAGTAAATCTCCCAAACCAGGCACAAGGAAACTGTTTCAAACCATACAAAGCCTTTTTTAACCTGCAAACTTTATTTCCTCCATCCATAGAGCCAAAGCCAGGTGAGATTTTCATGTAGACTTCTTCTTCTAACTCACCATTAAGGAAAGCATTATTCACATCAAATTGATTCATATCCCAGTTGTAATGGGCAGCAAGGGACAGCAAAGCTCTCACAGTATTCATCTTTGCAACTGGGGCAAAAGTTTCTTCATAATCAATGTCATAGGTCTGAGTGTAACCCTTGGCAACTAACCGAGCCTTATATCTCTCAAGAGTACCATCAGAATTATATTTCAAGGCATAAACTCATCTGCACCCTACTACTTTCTTTCTATCAGGTCTATTAACAACCTCCCATGTTTTATTTTTTTTCAAGGCATTCATCTCATCTTGCATGGCTCGAGCCCAATTCTCATCTTTTAATGCTTCATGTACTGATTTTGGGATTGAAATAGAATCTAGTGCTGAAATAAAGCTTTTGTGCTGCACAGAAAGGTGAGTAGAAGAGACAAAATGAGAGATAGGGTGTTGGGTACAAGATCTTTTCCTTTTTCTTAAGGCAATAGGTAAGTCATCAGAGGTACTGGGTAAGCTATCAGAAGCAACGGGCAAGTCATTAGATACAACAATATTAGGTTCAGAAACAGGAGAAGTAATAATATTAGAATCAGAAACAAGAGATTCAGGACTTACCAGGTTCAGACGATTGAGGTTGCTGGTGAAGTAGTGTGGGCTGCTTTCTCCTTTGATATACCAACTCAGGTGTCACAATCCTCTGTATTTTCGATGTATCAGATGGGTCAGACACAAAAGAATCAGAAATAGGAGGAAGAGGTGTAGGAGAAGGCATGGAAGGTCCAGACTCAAAGATAGAAGGTGATGAGTCTACTGAAGAACTGTTCTCCCCCTGAAGATGAGGACTTGGGAAAAAGGACTCAGATTCATGAAATGTGACATCCATTGAGACAGAGAATTTCCGACTAGCAGGATGATAACACTTGTAACCTTTCGTATCAGAGGCATAACCAAGGAAGATACATTTGAGAGCCCTAGGATCCAACTTACTGTGAAGATGTTTAAGAACGTGGACATAAACAACACACCCAAACACTCGTGGCTGAAGACTTTGCATAGAGGGAACAAAGGGAAAGAATGAAGTCATTGAGTGAATAGGACTTACATTGTCAAGGACCTGAGAAGGCAAGCGGTTGATTAAGAAAGCTGCAGTAAGAATGGCATTTCCCCAGTAGCATTTGGGTACATGATTCTGAAAAAGTAAGGCACGAGCAACTTCAAGAAGATGACGATTTTTTCTCTCAGCAACTCCATTTTGTTGAGGGGTGTCCACACAAGTAAGTTCATGAATCATGCCCTGATCTTGGATGAATTTGAAAAGACACTGATTGACATATTCGGTACCATTGTCAGACCTTAGTCTTTTAATTCTTTTTCCAAATTGGGTCTCAATCATTTTATAAAATCGAAAGAATATCTGTGGTACCTCAGATTTTTCATGCATTAAAAAAACCCAAGTTACACGAGTGCAATCATCAATGAAAGAAACAAACCATTTATTACCAGAAACATGAGGAACTTTAGAAGGACCCCAAACATCAGAATGAACAAGATCAAAAGGCTCAACACTTTTAATGGTACTAGAAGGAAAAGAGACACGATGGTGTTTAGCAAACTCACAAACATCACAATGAAAACACTCAACAGACTTAGACAAAAATAATGATGGAAATAAAGACTTAAGCAAACGAAATGGAGGATGCCCCAAGCGTTTATGATGGAGCCAAATCAAAGAGTCGGCAGTAGACTGAGACTCAGTCATCAAGGTGTGATCTTTAACATACTTTGCAAAAGATTCTGGCACCAGATAGTACAGCCCACCTTGCTCTTTAGCACCCCCAATCGTCTTCCTCGTGGCGAGATCCTGAAAAACGCAGTGAGTAGGGAAGAAAGTTACAGTGCAATTCAAATCTTTGGTAATTTTATGGATAGAAAGAAGATTAGTGGAGAGTTTGGGAACATAAAGAACATCTTGGAGATATAAGGAAGGCTGTAAATATATGTTACCGGAACCCGCAACTGATGTGTGTGAACCATCAGCTACAGCTATTGTATGGGTGCCAATAGTAGGGTTATAAGAAAGAAAGGAGTCAGCACAACAAGCCATATGATCAGTAGCACCAGAATCAATAACCCAAGAATGTTTAAAATCAGTACAAGAAGAAAGAAAAGAATGAGTAGTGGAGCTCATACCAATCATAGCCAAAGCACTAGTATTAGATAGCTTACTCAGAGAATTAGTACGAATCTGCTCCAACTCATCTCGGCAAATAGAAATAAATTCTGAAGATACACCATTTGAACCAGCCATAATATTGAGGTGAAAATCACACAAACGCAAATCCAAATGATGTCTGACCGAAGAGAAAAACACAGATCCAGAAAGAGGATACAAAACCAAGCAGAAAAGTTTTTTTTTTTTTTGCGTGAACAGTAACCGATGAACAGTGCGCGGTGAACAGTACCCTGCGAACAATGCGGGATGAACAGTACCTCTGTGAACAGTGTTTTTTTTTTTTTGAGCTGTTCTGGTCGTCTGATGAAAAAGAAACCTCCGTAGAATGATAGATCTGAGAAAACGGAGTGAAACAGGGGTCCTCACGGTCCAAAAGGTCCCCGGAAAATTTTTTCCGACGGCGGCTTTGTGGCGGCGAGAGACAAATAGGGTTTGATTTTTAAAAACGGTAATTTGTGGAAGCAAAGCCCTCAGAATCGAGAGCTCTGATACCAAGTTGAAAAAAGATATGGTCTTATTGATAAAATTGTGTATTACATCTGTACAATTGCTCTCTATTTAAAGAGACTAAATAACCTAATGGGCTAAGCCCAAAGAAGATTCTAGAATGAAAATAAATAAACAAATACTATTATTTACAACATAAAGTTTGTAAACAAAGAGGAGTTACCATGTTGTTATACTCAGATGTTGTATTTCTCCAAGGAAGATTAATAGAAACATCAAAAATGGTGACATCCCACATAACTTTCTTATGGTTCACGAAAACATATCTGCAGATCAAATGAAGCCAAATAGGTACCGTTATTGTTTGAGATGATTTGACATGAAAGAGATGTTTTAAGTAATTGCCAAAGTACAGCTTACTCTGCTTTGGACAAGAGGCGTGTATTGTCATTTTCAATTCCATTCAGTGACAACAGCACCTGAGTTTGACAGAAATAGCAGAAACTTAAAACCTTTTAAAAACAAAAACACAAATACAAGAATATGTTATCCTCCAAAGGGAACTACAATGAAATAGAAGACATAAACATTGTCTTCCATAGATACAGCCCTCCATGTTACTCAAACTATTTGATACAGCCCAACGGTGTCTTGTGGACCATGTAGCCAAACCCACCTAGTGGGACAAAACTTGATTGTTGATGTACATTAAGAAAACCAAAATTTATATAGAAGGAATTTCAACTCATAAGTTTCCCAATAACATTTGTGATTCAATTTGAGGAGTGTTGAGAGATGACTGTATCTCGCACATGATTAATGTTATGGGAAGAAGGGTTTTTATGTCCTCGGAACTATATTGTACTACAATATATATTAGCCTAATTTACTGAATATAAATACAGAGACCTACTCACATAGGGTACTATTCTCCCAAACATCTCTTTTACAAAGGTTAAGAACACAGTAATTCCACATTAAACAATTTAAAATCTCGTCGACTGCCAGAACTTATGCATTACTAGAAGTAAGGATCAGGGAAAGATATTGCATACCCTTTCATTATGAAATTTGAAGGATGTAAAGACATCATAAAATTCCAACAGATTCAAAAAAATGTTTGCTTCAAATGTTACTTCAAGTTGTTGAAGCATTCCCTGTAAAATAAGATTAAAAAAAAAATAACATAATACATAAACATTAAACCAACAGAACATGTCTGCTTTAAACTTACATGCCTACACAAGAGTAAATCAATTCTACCAACTCACTACCTTTACTGACATGTCCATATATCCGTCAGATGAAAAATTTACTTGAATGCTGCATGAATGATCCAAAATGTCCCCTACATTCTTTTCAACAATGGGCTGCAAATCAAGGAATAACACCATCAATATCAATAGAACTGAAATTGACAAAATAATTGTCATAAATTAACATTGAACATGCATTTATGAAGGCAAATATTCCAAAAGGGATCTAAGAAACAATCCCAAAAAAAAAAAAATCAAGTACAACACTTTCTAGGATTTGACTCCATTGAAGAATAAAAGTCATTAGTGCCAAAGGGAAAGAACCATAGTTTTAAATAGCCGGTAGCGCCGACCCCAAAAACGCTATAGCGGTATAGCGGGTAGCGATAAAGCCGCTACTGTGAAGTCCATATAAATACTTATAATAAATTATACCACATATATAAATGCTAAAAGATAAGAAATCACCCAAAATAGGAGGAAATAAGTAATGAAAAGTATGATACTACACATTCAAAACAAGGATTAAAGGGAACATAAAGGAAGCAACATACTAGTTCATTGAAGGAAACTAAATTAATAATATTCTAGGAACATAAAGGATTCAAGTAGAGTCAAATACAAATTGCTCTATCAAAGTCAAGAAGGACCTAACCCAAATAGGTCAAGACCCAAGCATACTTTTCACCAAATGTGGGTGAGATGTGGCTTCTTGGCTTGCATTGAGGCAAGGACCTAACCCAAATAGGTAAGACAAGGTCATTACATCCTAAAAAGAAAGACTTCAAAAACTGGACCAAAATGAAGAATAACAAATAAACCACTCCCATCAAATCTCGACTAGCAAGGGTAGGCGTGAGGATAATCCTTGTACGCAATCTTATCCTTACATATTTCAAAGAGGTTGTTTCTCAAATTCAAACCCATGACCTTTCAGAAACAAACAAGAAGATTTACTTGACCCAAAAAAAAAAATCCATAAATGACTAACCCCAAAAAAGGCCAAAAGCCATCGGCTAATACTATCATGAACCCTTCAACAGTACAACTATATTGGTGGACCAGTAGTATGAATAGTGTCCATAGACCACCACTCAAAAACCCGATCTAAATTCGAAAATATCTGAAAATTAACCACCACCAAAGTGACCAAACCAAATAAGTGCATGAATAGTGTAAATCAGCTCCATGTGTTCCATCGATGAAATTTAAGTTGATGTAATTACAATACAAGAAATCTTATTTCAAAAAATAAGGTAAAAAAATAATAACTATCTGCTTAAAGTTTTAATATTGTGTTCCAACCTTCTATTTCCTAAAAGTTGCACAATTTAGGTGTCTTGGATCTATCTTACAAAGTGGTGGGGAGGTTCAAGGGGACTTAGCATATAAGAATCAAGTAAGGTGACTGTAATTGTTGTTTAAAAGTAATTTGTAACAAGATTTATATCAAACTCAAAGAAAAACATTGCCCAACAGCTATAACAGTAGCCAATGTGGGGAAGTAAAATGCCACGAGAAAATAATGTGTAGTGGAGATGAGGAGGTTGCGAAGGATGAGTTGATATACAAGACAAAATAAGATCAAGAACAATTGTACTCAGGAGAAAGTTGGACTAGCACCTATTAAGGAGAAGACGACAAAAGGTTGCCAAAAGTGATTTCTCATATTTATTCAATACTGAAGAAATTATAAGAAAGATACAAACCTCTCTAATATGCAAAATGACCTCCCCGCTGTTTGGGTTAACCGTTTTCCCAGACTTGAATTTGGAGATAATAATTCCATGTTCTTTGTAGAGCTTCGACTCAACAATTCCACCTTCAAGAATTATTTCTGCAATTCCCTTACCATATCTCCTAAAAAAAAGGAGAGCAGGAGGGAAAAACATAAATAGTTGACTACTATACAATACTAGTACATACTTTAAATCATTTTACACACACAATCATTACAATAGAGACAGAGTTCAGTAAATGTGAGATCTAATAGCTTCTTGAAAATTGAGAATATGTCATCTTATTGTTATTCTTTAAATAAAAAGGGTACAGCCCCAGGTTGCAAAAAAAAAAAAAAAAATCTTTAGTCATGAATGAAGTATAAACATGGAAATCATTCACATAGAACAAGAGACAAAAGAGTTCTCTTAAAATGCCTGTGAACAGAGGATAGAACACAATACTTGCTACATAGAGTTGCAGAAATTTGATGAATCTCAAACTTCAATGCAAATATGCATAATTCATGCTTTGTAGTGAGATCAACACTGGATGGAACCAGAGGATGAAATTCAGTTGCTTCCGATATATCCTGCAAAAAAAAAAAAAAAAACAACCATTGATTGAGAAGTCAGAAGTGTCATTCAACAAAAAATATAGTATATGCTTGTTTGGTTTAGATTTTGGCAGTGTCAAACGGAAGTTTACACAATGAATATGTTATTTTCATATTTCATCAGTGTTTGGTTATCTCCTGAGCTAAGGAAACAACAAAGAAAATCAATTGTCTCTGTAGCAAATGCACAGGAGCAACTCTTTTTTTTTTTTTTGGAATTTACCTTCATTATTTGTAATATTCATTTTACGCTGGTAGTTGTTACCCTTCCCAACTGTCATTATTAGTGTGTTTAATTGTAACAATATTAAAGCTTATTAAACTTAAACTTAAGTGTTAGAATATACAGAAAATGCCTCATAACATTTTTATTGTATCGTAAATTACTTTTTGAGTATCTTATATGATCTCTTAGGAACAGTTTTCAAATTTCATTACTTCATTTGTTTCCTTAATGAATTAGGATCAGAAGTCTAATATTATTAGAAATAGGAATCGTGCTTCATCATTTTAATGATACACAGTATTAGTTTCATAGAATATTATAGAGAGTCTTATTTCGCGATTCTTCCTTCCCTACCTAAATAGTATAGTTTCAACATTTTTCACTATGAAGAAAAGAATAGGGTTAAGAGAAATCAAAAAGCAGCATACACATAGATTTCAAAGAACTCAATACAGCAAAAATACGGACACAAAGGTCACAGCTGATGGCCAAAGGCCAATTATGCCAATAGCCTAAGCTATTAGGTGAAATCAAGTGAATCGTTTTATTTCTAACAGGTCCATCGACAACTAAACCAAAAGTTTAAGTTATTAGGTGAAGGTTTCTGAATGGTTTTATATCTAACACACTCATTTGAGCTTAAAGTGTTGACAATGCACAGTTCCAACCAATCTTGTGATGAAATTTAACTTATAAAAGAATAGGGCCAACAAGGATCAAGCTCCAGGTCAATTGGTCATAGAGGCTCTAATACCACATTAAAACTTTAGGATTTGGAAAAAGAAAAGAAAAAAAGAGAGAATGACTGATAAGTGATAACAATGTATAATGAGATTGATAGTAAGATGTTACACTAATACAGTAACCTAATGCACCTATTTATAATACTGATTAGGTCAAAAGCTAGTATTACTAATACAAGCCCATGCCCAACCACAATACAAATAAGATTAATAACCCTAATACCTTCTAACACATTTCAATTAAGATCCAAACCAAACATATCATATATTGTCATGACCACACAGATTTATAAAAACTACAAACCAAAAGACCTTTGACCATATAGTCTTTATATATCCTCATGTAAACCTGGTGAATACGCGTACAAGCACAAATCTAAACCAAATAAAGGTTATTGCTGCTCACAATTAAGGTGTCTGAGAATGAGATAATCCAGCCCTGCTAAAATTATAGACAGGACATTAGACAGTAGAGGTTATGCTCAATCAGATTATGTCAGTGGATAAGTTTTCCCATGTCACCCATGACAATACTGTTGGGTCCGTGACTGTACTTTTTCTTTTTGGTGGGCCCAAGCCCAAAAGTTTTTGATGCCCTAATTATGCAGCAATTCCACAAAGCTAAACAGAAAAATGGGCTCCTCTTCTCTGCCTTTTTGTGACTTTCCTCCTTGCTTTTTCTCTTGGTTTCCATCTATTTGATGATGTATTTGAGTTCCGCTATGTATTGTGTATCAATTATTATTGTTTGGTGATAAGGGAGGATTTGGGTGGATTACGTCAAAGGTCCCATGGTTTTTTTTTCCACGTTAAAAGTCTTGTGTGCCAATTGTATTCTTGTTGTTCTTGATTTTATTTTAAGTTGTTTACTTCAATTTGCAATTGATTAATTGTTGTTTGGCCCCAAAAAATAGTAATACAGCTACGTCTACAGTGATTAGAGGTCAAAACAGTGCTTATGTGAATGTGTATTATGATTGGGAAAGTCCATCTAAGACAGTGTAAAAATGACTTTGTCTAAATAGAGAGCAATTAAATGGTTTTGATAGAAGTAAAGGCAAAAATTTTGTTGCAATGTGCACTCTATGCTACACTTAGGTACATTTGACTGGAACATAACTCACATATCCTTAAGGAGGTTGCTTTGGCACAACAACTGATTTGGGATAAGATTCGGTGTTTAACTTCTATTTGGTGTAAAGCACAAGGTCTTTTTGAGAGGCTTTTCCCAAACATATATGCTTTGATTGGGCAATTTTGCTCCATTTATGCTTATTTTACTGTGTTATGTGTGTTTATCTTGTTTGTTAACAAGGATCTTTTATCCTCCAAATTTTGTTACAATTTCTAGGTCAATGAATCTCTTATTTAAGCAAAAACTAAATCTACGTGATTACCAAAATAAAACATTGCATTATTTTTATTTAAATATATGTATTAGAAAAATTGGTAAATTGAACCAAAATGCATTTTTCCCAACATGTATTCTGGACATGGAAAACATGACAAAATATCATTTTCCAGCTAGAGTTTGCTCCAGTGCGCAAACCAAAACAAGCACAGAGAATAGACCAACCTTCAAAACAATGTGATAGTTTAATAAATAATTGACCACTGGTACCTTAACATCATAAGACACGACTCCAGAAAATTGACTGGAATCATCAGTTCCACCGGCACCTAGCATACCACGAGATAGCCAATTCAACCAACCCCGTGATTTGACAGTGTGCTCATCATTGCATGACTTCTCATTCAGAATATCAGTGTGAATCCTGCCATTGTTTGGTGTAGAACACCTTGAAAGGAATTCCTGTAAAAACATACAAAGCACAAGCTTTGAGAGCCAAACATGCAAATGATGCATCTCAAAAATGCATTATATCAGTATAAAATTTGCCCAAAATAAGCTAATCAAATAAAGAAAATAATACCAAAAAAAAAAAAAAATACCGAATTTTCATTAAATGACCTGTAGCATACTTACCCGCATCTCATATTCTGCAGCAGATCGATAATTCAAAATATCATCTAGATCTGATTCTTTCTCCATTTGCTCCAAATCTCGAAGAACATCATCATCAACCGGCTAATAAACACAAATATATATACTCATCAGTAGGACAGTACAAAAGTAACAAACCAAACCATGTAAACACTAAAATGTAATTCTTGCAAAAAAACAAATCTGAAGAATATTATAAATATATGCAACAAAAAGTGTATGTCTTCAAAAAAAAAGGAAACCACCTGTTCTTGTTGGAGAAAATCCAACTTAGTCTTGTACAAGTTAATATATTTCCGACGATAACTTCTGTATCCAGGAAACAGAGAGAATTACTAGACAAGGTAGATGAATGTCAACAAGAGACTGAAAAAGGACTCAACTCAGAAGGAAATCAGATATACTCCCTTTTTCTTTATTTTGGTGTCCTGTGAGTAAAAAAAAAAGATGACAAAAAGTAAAAAAGAAGGGTAGCACAATGTAAGCACAACAAACAAATATGACAGACATAGCTTTGCGTCGGATGTTGTCTACAGCTATAGATAGATGTTTGAACAAGGGTGTTACAGTTAGCTCTGAGGAAGTTATTGTTTCACACTTGCAGTTTGCACGCAGATGATACAATATTGTTTTCAAATGATAACAGGCACAGATTCATACCTGTTCTTTACAAACTTCAGTTCTTTGAGGAGATTTCAGGTTTGAAGATTACTTTTGCTAAGAGTGGTGTTGCAGGGATTGACATAGATAACCAAAGTCTTAATTCTTAAGCTGCTCTAGCTGGGTTTGTTGAGGGCTTAATGGGGTGTTGCAAAAGGAAAAGAGAAAAGAGAGCAGTGAAGGGTACAACAAGATTGTAATTCCATGCATTCCGCATGATCAATGGGCTATCTTATAGCCGATTACAAGATCCGACAGATAAGGTAAGCTAGCTAATAACATAGTTTGACATAAGATAAATTGATACGACTGATAAGATAACTATAACTAATTTGAAATATAAACAAACGAAGATAATGGTAAAACAACTTAAATGAGATAATATGATCATGTTGGTTTAGGCCTATTTTCACACCCAAAATAAACTTCCAGTCCTGACTTAACATTCCTTTCCCAACCCTCAAGTGGGGTTTTATCCACAAGCTACTCATCTTCCTAACTAAAATCTTCGGGTGCAAGGCCCTCCCACTGAACTAACACCTATGAGACTGGCTTGCAATAAATTGCAAGGGGCTTGTTAAGAGGTTGGTGGTCAGCGGCTGCTTCGAGTAGAGGGCATACCACAGTGTCTTGGATGTTGTCCGAATTGGCCATTCTAGTAGGGCTACCAGCTTGGCTAGATTGGCGAAGTCCCATTGTGCTGTGTTAGAAATAATATTAATTTATTATTAGAATAGTCTAGAATAGTCTAGAATAGTCTAGATTGTGGGCTTGGCCCATTAGGTCATCCCATTAGGTCTTTTAGTCTCTATAAATAGAGAGCCTCCTTGTACAGACTCATATACTTGAATATACAATATATTTCAGATTCAATTTGGTATCAGAGCTCTCGATCTGAGGGCTCTGCTTCCGCATATATATCTTTCTCTTTCTTTTTACTGCCGTACATCATACCGGCAACCATCCTTTCACACCTAACCCTTATTTAGTCACAAATTTCTTGTCCTAAACCTCGTATCATCGAGAAAAAGATCGTCAGCCTCCGTTCATCGCCGGAAACCGCCACAAAACCACCGTCCGCCACTGTTCACCGCCGTCAGACTGCTTTTCCGGCGACTTTTCCAACCAACCACCACGCGATCAGGAGCGGCTCAGGGAGGCGACCCTGTCTGTCCAAGCCGCGTGTTGATCGGAGCATCCACGCGCCGCCACGCGCCGGTGGAAGTCTACGGCGGCCGAGCCACTGTTCCGGCGCGTGAGCCACCGTCCGGCCACCGTTCCAGGCCGGACCACCACCATCTTGCTCGCCTCCTCACCCTCTTTCCAGATCTGGTCTCCGTTCGTTGTGGGTCCCATCCGTTTGAAAGATATCAGTGAAAAACCCATTGTTTGGACACTTTTGTGCAACGTTTTTGCGCGATTTATTGCTTTCTTGTAGTTCTTTGCTATTTTCTGGTCATCTCCTTTTATTTTGTGATGGAGGGCTCAAATAATGCGTCCAAAAACACGACTGGCATCATCTCTGGTACTACCCCATCTCCATTCTTTTCTCGGGCCAGTGATTCCAATTGGAACAGTGGACGCAGTCGCAGACGTGGCCGCAGACAGAGGCCTCGTTGCAATTATTGCCAGAATCTTGGGCATTTTGAAGAACGCTGCTATAGGAAGTACCCTCATTTGAAGCCACCGACTGCCAACTTTGCTCAAACTGATGTTACGCCACCTTCAACTGGATTAGTAACTCTTTCAAGTGTCGACTATGAGGCACTTCTCAAGAAGGTTTCTTCTCAGCATCCTACTCAAGACACTGGTAATCATGTTGCCTGTTTTTATCAATCATCTCTTGGACCCTGGATAATAGACTCAGGTGCTACTCATCATCTTTGTGGTAATAAAGATCTCTTCACTTCACTTTCTTATTCTAATAACCTACCCCCTGTCACTCTTGCTGATGGCACTAAGGCTCCTGCTCGTGGAATTGGGGAAGCCAACCCAACTCCTCTTTTAACTTTGAGTTCTGTTAATTATATACCTGGCATTCCTTTTAATTTAATCTTTGTTAGCCAGTTGATTCATTCTCATTCATGTACTATTACCTTCTCTAAACAATCCTTTTCTATGCAGGATTCGGGTACGGGGAAGACGATTGGAGCAGGCGTTGAGTCACGAGGTCTCTACTATCTGATTGCACCACCTTCTCCAGTAGCCTGTTCTCTCACAGAGTCTCCTGAGCTAATTCACAGCCGTCTGGGTCATCCAAACCTCTCCAAGCTTCAGCATATGGTTCCCTTTTTATCCAATCTTAAGTCTTTAAACTGTCATTCTTGTCAGCAAGGAAAACACACTCGCTCCTCCTTTGCTAATAGAGTCAATAAAAGAGCTGATGCTCCTTTTTCTATTGTTCATTCTGATATTTGGGGTCCGAGTCGAACAACGTCTGTTTTGGGTTTTCAGTATTTTGTCACCTTTATTGATGATTTTTCCCGTTGCACTTGGGTTTATTTAATGAAAAATCGTTCTGAGTTATTTTCAATTTATCAAAAGTTTTGTGCAGAAATAAAAACTCAATTTGGTGCTTCTATTCAAATCTTGCGCAGTGATAATGCAAAAGAGTATGTGTCTCTTGAATTTTCTAAATTTCTGAATACACAAGGGACGATACACCAGACTACCTGTCCCCACACTCCACAACAAAATGGAGTCGCTGAACGTAAAAATAGACATCTAGTTGAAACTGCATGTACCCTTCTCATTCATATGAACGTCCCACTCCGTTTTTGGGCAGATGCTATTATCACCTCATGTTTCCTTATCAACCGCATGCCCTCTTCTGTGCTAAATAATGATGTTCCCCACAGTATTTTGTTTTCCGGAGCACCTTCTTATCCTCTGCCTTTACATATTTTTGGTTGTACTTGTTTTGTTCATGATCTTACTCCAGGTAAAGACAAGTTGACATCCAAGGCCTTCAAATGTATTTTCCTTGGGTATACACGTTTTCAAAAAGGGTATCGTTGCTATTCTCCTGATCTCAAGCGTTATATCGTTTCTGCTGATGTCACTTTCCTTGATCAGCAGCCTTTTCACTCTACTCCGTCTCCAGTGTCCCAAGTTGATCAGGTCCTTCCTGTTCCTTTTCTTGATTTGTCTTTACCAGCTGCAGGTGACCCTATTCCAGAGGAGCAACCAATTACCTCCATACCTGCAGATCGTCCTCTCCTCACATACTAGCGTCGTCAGCCTGCACCTCCTCCGACTTTTCCTCTTGATGACTCATCGCCCCTTCCCGTCGGCTCTTCTCCTCCGGATCCTCCATCAGAGACTCCTCCCATTGCCCTTCGGAAAGGTATTCGATCCACTCGAAATCCTCATCCCCTTTATTCTTTCTTGAGTTATGACAGACTTTCTTCACAACATTTTACTTTTGTTTCTAGTATCTCTTCTGTTTCCATCCCTAAAACCACAGGTGAAGCACTATCTCATCCAGGGTGGCGCCAGGCGATGCTTGATGAAATGCAGGCACTTCACTCCAATGGCACTTGGGATCTTGTTCGTGCTCCTCCCGGGAAGTCTGTTGTTGGTTGTCGATGGGTGTTCACAGTTAAAGTTGGTCCTGATGGCACTGTTGATCGCCTTAAAGCTCGCTTAGTGGCCAAGGGATACACACAGATCTTTGGTCTTGATTATGGGGATACCTTTTCTCCTGTTGCTAAGATGGCTTCTGTTCGCCTGTTTCTTGCCCTTGCCGCCATTCATCACTGGCCCCTTCTCCAACTTGATATTAAGAATGCTTTTCTACATGGTGACTTGCAAGAGGAAGTTTATATGGAGCAACCACCAGGTTTTGTTGCTCAGGGGGAGAGTTCTGGAATGATATGTAAACTTCGGAAATCTTTATATGGCCTGAAGCAATCTCCTCGGGCCTGGTTTAGCCGCTTTAGTTCAGTTGTTAAATCCTTTGGATTAATCAGAAGCAAAGCCGATCATTCTGTCTTTTACCGGCATAACTCTTCTGGCCAGTGCGTTTATCTCCTGGTCTATGTTGATGACATTATCATTACAGGCAGTGATCAGACCGGGATTGATCAATTGAAAAAGCATTTATTCAACCAATTTCAGACCAAAGATCTTGGCAGACTTCGATATTTCTTGGGGATCGAAGTTGCACAGTCTAGGCGGGGCATTTCCATCTGTCAGAGGAAGTATGCACTGGATATCCTAGATGAGACTGGCATGTTAGGTTGTAAACCCATTGATACACCTATGGACCCCAATGTTAAGTTATTACCAGGACAGGGGGAGCCACTGCCAGATCCTAGTCACTACCGCCGACTAGTTGGAAAATTGAATTATCTTACTGTGACAAGGCCAGATATCTCCTTCGCAGTGAGTGTTGCAAGTCAATGTCTTGATTCTCCTTGTGACTCCCATTGGGATGCAGTTATTAGAATTCTCCGATATATTAAAAAGGCGCCAGGAAGAGGTTTATTATATACAAATAAAGGGAGTTCAGAGATCTCTAGTTATTCAGATGCTGACTGGGCAGGTTCTCCTTCAGATAGACGATCCACCTCAGATTATTGTGTTCTCTTCGGAGGAAATTTGATCTCTTGGAAGAGTAAGAAGCAAACTGTGGTCGCCAGATCCAGTGCGGAGGCAGAATATCGGGCAATGGCAAATGCAACCTGTGAGCTCATCTGGCTGAGTCAATTGCTGAAGGAACTCCATCTCTGTGAACAAAGGCCTATGAAGCTCATTTGTGACAACCAAGCCGCTTTGCATATATCCTCTAACCCAGTCTTTCATGAGAGGACCAAGCATATAGAAATTGACTGTCATTTTGTTAGAGAAAAGATCCAGTCAAGGGAGATCGAGACAGCATTTGTCAATTCCAATGATCAACTTGCGGATGTATTCACTAAAGCTCTTAGAGGTCCCCGAATAGATCATATTTGTAACAAGCTGGGAGCTTTTGATATATACGCACCAGCTTGAGGGGGAGTGTTAGAAATAATATTAATTTATTATTAGAATAGTCTAGAATAGTCTAGATTGTGGGCTTGGCCCATTAGGTCATCCCATTAAGTCTTTTAGTCTCTATAAATAGAGAGCCTCCTTGTACAGACTCATATACTTGAATATACAATATATTTCAGATTCAATTTGCTGAAACATGTGCGAGGAATTCTACAGTGCAAGTGGCAAAACTCCACTTTGAGTCAGATGATGGTGTCGTAGAATGGCAAAAACTGGGCAGAGACGATCTAGATGAAAAGTCAAATCCCCGCGACAAGAATATCGCCAAACAATATAACAACAAAACAATGAAGAAATGACAAAAATATCTCATTCAAAGTGCCTGGAAGGTGGACGGCACATTGGTAATGCCAAAGGGCATAACTAGGAATTCGAAATGGTCATGGTGTGTTCAGAAGGTTGTTTTACAGATGTCTGAAGGTTCCATTCTAATCTAATCATAATCGGAGCATATATCAACTTTGGAGAAGACCATGGTGCCTTGGAATTCATCTAAAAGTTCATCGACTTATGGTATTGGAAAACAGTTCCGAATAATGACGGCATTAAGCTATCTGTAATGAGAAAAGCCAAGGTCCGTCCTTTTTCTTTTTTTGGCAAAGAGTGGCGAACTAAGCATAGAGCGACTAGGGTGGATGATCCTGTCTCGAAGAAGTTCTATGACTAGACAAGTAATTTCCTATTTTTGGTAGTGAGTATAACGGTGTGAACAGACATTGACCACCTTTGTGTCATCTTTGGGGGGGAATACAATGGTCAGCTGCTTGCGTCAAGGTAGGGATGGATATTGACAGCCATTAGGTCATCTTTGAGGGGATAAAAGCGGTAAACTTCTCGAGATGGGGAAAGGCTGACAGATCCGGCTAAGAGGTAGTCCTTGTTAGAATATATGTAGAATTGCGTAATTATATAGAGTATCATGTAGATAGGGAAGGGCCCAAGCCCATTATGTAATTACTTCTTCACTATTATAAATAGAACCTATGTATGATCTTATTAGATACACAATTTCCCAAAATTGAAGTGTCATGTTCTACAAGGGTTGTAAAGGTAGATCTATATCATTTGTTACTTCGATAGATACTATTTAGGGGAGGAAGCGGATAAACGCATATAGCATGCAATTACTCTGTTGGAATTGCTCATAATAAAAGGTAACCTTGTAATCATATTGTTTGGCCCTCTGTTGGAATGTCATTGTCATGTAGGCATGGTTCGTCATTACTGAGCCCATAGTTTCGAGCCATTGGACGCCCAATATGATATTTGTGCCCTATAGGTCGGAAGAAGCAAGTCCAGTGAATAAATGGGCCTGAATGAGTATTGCTACATCTTGAAAAAGGGTTGTGCATTTTAGGCATTTCCATTGCCCACCAAATTATGGAAGAGAGAGATCAGTGACGGCGGTAAAGCGAGGAATTAGAACATGCATGCTGAGAAAAAATTATGTGTGGTGCCTCCATCCACCAACACTTGAACCAGATAACCTCGTACGGTGCCCAACATACGCATTAGCTTGGTGAAAGCTGGCCAAAGAGAGCATTGAGACTGATTTCTGAGACTGATTTCTGAAACCGGCAGTGGGAGTTCAGTGGTGTCAATCTTGGCTGGTGGCGAAACGTCGCCTGTGTCCTCAAAACCCTCCAAAGATAAAAGGGTTGGGCAGCCTTTGCAGTGATGCACGCAAATGAATTTTTCATCGCAGCCAAAACAGAGGCCTTTATCACGTTATGCCTGCATTTCTTTTGTGGATAATCGCTTAACTTCAAGCCTTAGAAGACATGGAGGTGCAATTGAATTTGTAGGAGGGATGGGTGATGCTATCAGCATGGTGACAACTGTCAGCTAAATTGTTCCTTGAACTATATCTCATAAAAACGGGCTAAAGTGTAGGTGCTGTCCAAATCGACAGGGCAGTGGGCTTGGACGGCCATGCATATCTATCTCTAGAGTGTGGAAATAAACAAGCTACGTAAGTAGTGCAGAGTCATATCTTCCATGAACTTGAATTGCACATAACATATTGGGATAAAGTGGGGTGCCAAGCCTACATATCTTCAGAGTCAATTGTGTTAATGTTTAAACTGCTGTCCACACAAAAAGAGTTGACCTTTTCTTTCTCCCACAAAGAATGAAGATGGTTACAGCATGTTAGGGTTTGCCCTCTAAAATAAACTATATCTCCAGCCACTAATATGATAAGTAAATATAACTGTTTAAAAATGCATTACATGAACAATGCTCAATCAAAATGAACTCTCTTCAAAAAGTACAATCTGAATGAAATCTCTGCAGCATTTTTCGTCATTACTCAGCCCATAATCTGCATACTACCCTAGAAGACATCAATGAGTAGCAGTGATGATGAACGACTCAATGCTATCTTCTAAAATTATAAGCTGGCATAAAGGACCGACATTCTATTACTTGGGGTGTTGTATTGTCAGTTTCCTTTGAGCTCAAACCCCAAAGACTTCTTTACTCCACACCTTCAACTTCTCAAATTTCTTTACAAATCAAAACATTCTGACCCAACTATTCGATCATTTCAATATTCCTTTATTCGAAGTCCATAAAATTGTCAAAGTGAAGCCATATATTCTTAAATAATGAAATTGGAAAGGAGGAGAACCTAAATCTAACAACCAAGGAAGATTATCAGCAATAGGACAAGAAAACAATTCCAACATTAACAGGAAAAGATTCCCCCAAGCACTAGTAAATAAGGAATCTATTCAGACAGACATTAAATGAACCATATCCGAATGGAATTATCAAAACCTCTCCTACTACAAGTTATTGAAGCACCAAATTACTATAGGAATTTAAAGATATAAACCCCCTCCCTCCTCCCAAAAGAAAAGACCTCAGAATAAAAATCATCATTAGACAGGCATAGACCAAAGATTATCGAAGGATCATCCCGAAACATGAAACAAGTTGTAGGATCTAGACCAAAGTAACCCAACACAAGAAAAATTCGGACCAAAATGACCAGGTCTTTAATGGATAAAAAAGAAATATTAGTAAATAAAATAGGATAAAAGAAAACACAGAGGGAGTCCAAGAAATTCTCTGTGAAGGGGAAAAATAAAAATAAAAGATTAATCACAAAAACTGAACCTTATCCCACTAGGTGGGGGCAAAGCTAATATTGGGATATGACGGAAAGAGCACAATCCCCAATATCAGATACAAATTCATGAGTAAAATCATCTTTTTAAAAACTTACAATCGATCTCCAAGGTATCTCCATGATGTTTTCTTTAGTTTCTTGCGAACATCTGAAAGGACTGATTCCTGTGCATAGTGCCACCAAAATATTTGCCAACGGTCAAATTTTCTTGATGTAGGACAATGCCAAGGACGAAAACAACCATACCTACATAACATAATAATAAAATATTTCAAATACCTAAATTATTCTATATATGAAAATCTAACAATTCACTTAAAGAGTTGACATTAAAAGATTTAAGTATAGGTCAGCATACAATAAGAATAATAGCTTTCGAGTTGATCCTAGTAAGGCATTTTTCCCCCACTTAATGATCATGGAAGGTTAAATTTAACAAATTAAATTGCACATCACATTTACATAATCAAAGAAGAGCAAAAGCGAAAAGAGCAATTGATACAAGTATAATTCATGAGTCATTCAAGAATTTACACAATCCTTGGGTTACGTGCCAACAACTGAAAGCCTGAAATCAATTTTAGATCTAACTCAGCTAAAATACTAGAATGAATGGTGCAAAGTTTCATGAAACTATAGGGTTTGAGGTAAGAATGGATAAAAAGAGAGAATGGAGACTCAAAATAATGGGATATCAAATTGATATGGGGTATTATGATGTCATGATAAAGAAGATAATGCACTAACCCTTTTTTTCTAGGAACTAGGATAACCAAGAGACTACCAACCCTAATCAAATAAGGGAACAAGTAACGAATTATACATAAGATAAAATCCTTAAGAATAGGATAAGTATCCTGAAAAGATAAGATCCCTAAAAATTAGATACCATAACTATCCCTAAAATAACATTAACTATCCTAATCTATTATGCACCATTCTCTTCCTCTAAATATTTTGTAGATATTCTAACATTCATCCTCAAGCTAAAGTTTATTAAGTTTGCTTGTTACAAATGAACCCTTTAAAATTAAAAAAGAAAATAACAAAAAATATCGTTAGAATGTGTAGAAAATATCATAAATATCTTAATTGTATCTTAAAATAGTTTAGAGCAGCCTAGATGATCTCTTATGAGTAGTTTCTCTATTTCATCATATTTCAAGATATGCATCCTTATTTTAGGAGACTCCTATTTAATATAAATAGGGCTAATTACTTTGTCTTTATATCACTTCAAATCATGTCATTATACAAAAGGGAATATTATTCGGTGATTTAGTCTTCTATTATCTCATCTCCTTTTCTTCCCTCCCTTTATACTTAAATCCCCATAATTTCAAGAAATATATAAAGTGAGCTCCATCAAACATGGCTGAAAAACAATTAAGGGATATGTTGGAGATGCCTGAGAGACGAGTATTGTTGGAAAGAAAACTCAACAAGACGGCTGGGATGATCATCAATCTGACAGAAATTTCTTAGGAAACAATCAAGCACAGCAAGGCCCAAACTTCTCTAAACGACATTTGGAAGCTTCAAAAAGTAGAAAAAATTAACAAGATCCAAAAACATGAAATTGAAACTAAGGCTGACGTGCATCACACTCACGGAGAATTTATTACCAGCATGACTCATCAATCAGATAGGAGAAATTACCACCAATATGATTCAAGACAAAGGCTGATATGAATCATAACCAAATCATCATTGTATTATTCATTGGTGAATGGTGAGAAATAAGTAATCGGAATGCCGGTAGAAGAAAAGTCGCCACTGGTATGTTCATGAGTAGACTGCCAGAATGATTGTTGGCAGCAAAAGAATGTCGTTGGGTCACCAAACGAGTCTAAAAGTAACAAATAGAAGCAGGTGCTATAATAGGGACATTTAGCAGCCAAACAATTCAAACCAAATAATGGAATCTAAATCGGATGACAGTAGGGGAAAGCAACACCAAAATAGAGCGCATTAGAGGGAGAGAAAAAGTACACTAAGAATATACTAAAACGACATTGATGGAAGAAATTCTAGGTTTTTGGTGGCTGGAATTTGTCATGGCCAATTGATAGGCAAACAACCGTCTGAAAATTAAGGTAGGCTGAATCAGTAAATCAAACGAAAGATTTTCTTATTTTAGGAAACTCAAAAGCAGAATAGTGAAGAGACAAGTCACAAAAGATGGTATCACCCTGATGGCATGTTGAAATTATAAGGTTTAGGCAAAGGAGAAAAGGAGGAATTGATATGGTGTAAAATGATGTGATGTCATGATACAAAAGATAAAGACGGACTCGTGTTTATACTAGAAAATAGGTTAAGTAGTAGACTCCTAACCCTAATCAAATAAGGGAACAAATAACAAACTAAAGATAAGATAAAATCCCTAAGAATAAGATAAGGATTCCAAAAAAAAGACTCCCAAAAATTAGGTAACACAATTATCCCTACAATATCATATTATCCTAATCTATTATGCAGCATTCTCTTCCTCTAAGTGTTTGGAGATATTCTAACAGCATAAAAGTATACTTCTTATATTAAAATATCAACTTCACTAAGAGTGGAAATTATAAGATATGAGTATAAGTCAACAAGCAACAAGCACAATAGCTATCATGCTGATCCTATTAAGGCAATTGTTCCCCACTTAACGATCATGAAAGGGAAAAGAACAAAGCAAATTGCATATTACATTTACATAATCAAATAATTGCTAAAGCCATAAGAACAGATGATACAAGTATTTACACGATCCTTGTTTTATGTAAAACAACTGAAAGCCTGAAACCAAATTTAGAACTAACTCAGCTAAAATACTCGAGTTTCCTCAATGCATTATACTACATTTTTCTATAAAAAACAAATTGTTAAGAAAGAAGAATATTTAGGAGAAGAGTACAATAATTGCCAGTGTTGTTTCCTTACTTTGTCTTCATTTAGTATGTTTTCAGTGCTATTTGCTTCTACAACAGCTACTATTTTATACATCAAGCAAAGGTTTGTCCCAAAGGCACTTCTTTAACAGTGCTAATACAATAGTTACCGGCTTCTGGCAATGAACTTACTTTTCTCTTAATCTACAAGTGCAGACATAATCCCACACAAGAAACATCTGTTGTAACTGAGCTTCATCTAAAGATATAACCTGATAAGCAGAGACAATATTAGAAAGATATATAAGTAATGTAGGACAGCAGAAAGATAAGATGCAATATATTGCTTAAATTAGCAAATTCCATAAGAAAGAGTAACTAACCAAACCACTCAATTCAGCGGTGACAGAATACTGAGGAGCAGTGTCATCAAGCTTTTGTGATTTGTTAGCCTAGAAGACAGACCAAAAACAAAATTTATTAGGAAGAAAAGCTTTTCAAGATTTCAATAATGATTAAAAAGAATAGAGACCAGATGGTTATGCATAGAAATAATAAATCAAGACCCAAATAATTGAGGAGAGAATAAATAAGGCGAATGCAATACACCTCTACTGAGCAAATAAAGGAAATATGCAACAAATACAAAGGGAGGTTACAGTGTTTGCAAACTACAACAAAAAAACTATGCTAGAAATATAGTAAGTTACTTTTTGTATATAGAAATAGAAATTTTATTAAGAAGAGAAGAGTACACAGAAAGAGGATAAAGCATCCTCACAAGGAAATTACACAAGAGACCTAGAACCTAAGAGGCTGAGTCATGTAACAGGGTATGCCAACCCCTCTGCATGTCTAACAAAGAGACACCTCTAATGAGACTGTAAAGCAATCAATTCAACACAAAAGCTTAAATTGTTGTGAAAGGCACTTTAATTGTTTAAATTAGACATCTTTAATGGGACATTGACCGTACTACCACAAAAATATATATAATATATCGGAATGCCACACGTTTGAAAAAATACACAAAACTGCCACAGCACAATAGTCACTAAGGTACTCAGCTACTATGGACCGGACACGTGTCATTTCCCCAGTTGCTGGAAAAGCCTAGGAGACCTGGTTGCACCAAAGTAGCTACCTTATGTAGCGACTTTGGGTTAAGTGAGTCGCATGTCACTCATTTGATCAGAGTAGCCATGTTATGCAGCGAAGCGACTATGGCATACTTTTTCTGAATTGGCAAGCCTATGAATCAAAGTCGCTGGGTAAGGAAGCTAATTTGGCCTACTATTGGCAGCTACGCGTTGCAGATGGTGCAGAAATTTTGCAGGACCAAAGTAGCTGAAGAAGGAAGCTACTTTGATGTCCTTACTGAAGAAGGAAGCTACTTTGATGTCCTTAGTCGCTGGAACATTTGCTACTATGCCCATTTCATTGACACGTGGGCAATCAACACCAACCAGGCCTGCAAGGCTTTTCCAGCCACTGGGAAAGTGACACGTGTCCCGTCCATAGTAGCTAAGAACCTCAGCAACTATGGTGTCATGGCATTTTGGAAAAAAAATTGCACTCTGTGGCATTCAGGTATATTATTTTGAAAAAGGAGGCAGTACGGTCAATGTCCCCATCTTTAACACACTCCCTCATACAAGAGCTCATCGAACTTGAAGAATGGATAATGCATAGGCTCACTGATGTAGCTCTGGAAAAATGATGAGGTGATTGACAAAAAAAGATATGCTAGACAGAAGATTAAAAGAGAAAAACAAATCTTTATTTATCAATGAAGTTGTTACAGAAAGGTGTTTATCTCAAGGGTGCCCCTTCAACCTAAGTCAATTCTCAGTTCTCTACTAGATAAACTCAAAAGCTCTCCGTTACGATGTTTTCTCACTCCTAATATAGTCCCTACCCCCAAGTCCTAATGGAATACTATTCACATAACAGCTCAATATCATGTAACTGCCTATTGCTAACTAGGCTTATTTCTTCGGTTATATTCTCTCCGTATTGTTGGCTTAAAATGATTTTCCCTCTCAGAATCCTTACCCATAACAACAACATCTTCCTCAGTAACAACCTCAACCTCAAGGTTGAAGTCACAAAACTGCCACGAATCAAATCTACATCTTCCTAGGAAGCTTCTTCTACTGACAGATCCATCCATTGGACTAAAATTTGCTCCACTGCACCTCCCTGATGCTAAATTGTCCTAGGTGCAGGGTAACATTTAGTTCCCTCCACCTGCAAACCATCTAGTAATTGCTCTTCCACACAATGATATCACCGAATGCTCTTTTTAGTTGGGACACATGGAAAACACGATATATTCGTGCTTGTTCTTTGCAACATGAAGGCCACTACCCCAATTTGTTTGATAACCAAAAAAAGGCTATAAAACCCAACAGCAAATTTAGGATGCAATCTTGAGGGCATAGTATTCTGTCAATGGGGACGAATCTTTAAGTAGACCTAGTCTCGCACCTGAATAGGTAATGGCCTCCTTGTGTTTATTGACCTGACAGGCCATATGTGATTGAGCCCGAATGAGATGAAACTTTAGCTGTGGAAGAGCCTCATCACGACCTATGAGGTCTAATGCCACAAATTCAATTAGTATTTCGCCTCGAATGAATTTGGGGATGGTCTACCATACACCACCTCAAATGGTGAGCATTGAGTAGTTGTACGATAACTGGTATTATACCAATACTCCGACCAAGCTATAAATTCTCTCCAAGACTTAGGTTGTTCGAAGCAAAAGGCATGAAGATACATTTCCGATGTTCTATTTATTACCTCTACCTGCCCATCAATTTCCGAATAGTAGGCAGTACTAAATTGGAGAGAAGTCTCCTATATACGGAACAACTCCGGCCAAAAAGCGCAAATAAAAGTTCGGTCTCCCTCACTTACAATAGACATTGGTATACCATGGAGCCGTAAATTTCAGCAAAACATTTTGCATTAAAAAGATACTTCACCCTAATAAAGTGTGTGTACTTACTTAACTTATCTACCACCACTAAAACAGTGTCAAATCCTTTGTAATTGGGTAACCCAACTATGAAGTCCATAGTGAGTTCTTCCAAAATAGAGTTTTGGATAGGAACGGGCTATAGTAACCTGGCTGGAGAGGTTGCCTGATATTTACTCCTTTGGCATATATGACAAGCCGCCACATAGACTGCCGCTATATCCTTCGTGCCACTGCTAGGCCAATATACTGATTGTGCAATTCTGCCAAGTGTCCTGAAAATCCTAGCATTCCCTCCGGTAGGAGTGGTGTGGAATTCTTGTAATAGTTTAGGAATCCAATCTAACATAGAAGAAAGAACAAGTCTACCCTTATAATACACCCTACTGCCCACAATGGCATAATGGGGATGAGAGTTCGGGTTAACCTCTAGTTCAGAAATGATTCTGGCTGAATTGGAATCCTTTTTTACTTCAGAAATGATTGTGCAACATTTTTTTGCAGGTGTGGATGTCTATATGCTCATACATTTATGGGATTCGTTCCTTCATGCAAAGGAATTGTGTGGTCCACCTCTCTATAAGGGGTTAATCCCCTTGAGGCAGAGAAGACAATTTGTATAATGTTGCAGCAATTGTTAAAGCTGGGAGGCTTGTAAAGGAGTCAATCTGTCTTGAACACCTAACTTAGTAACCCCATATCAATGTCCATTGTCAAAAGAATGAAAACCAAAGCAGCAGATTCAACCTCCACGGTTTTGGCCAAAGCTTTAGATGAAACAAGAGATAGGGATAGAGAAGGATCTCCCTAAATACACACATTCTCCCCTCCCTAATTGAAACACTTGTTGAGGTTCCTCCAATTTATTCTAACACCTCCTAGTGCTTCTAACCATGCAACCCCTAAAATAACATCAACTCCATCCAACTCGAAAATGTAAAAGTCACTTGTAACGACATGCGTACCCAATTGAATTGACAGATATGAACATAGCCCTTGCGATAGCCTTTTCTATCCATCTCCCAATCGCACTCCAAATAGAATTGTTTCTGATCAGGGTAAATTCAGTCGTTGCACTAGCTTTTGCCCAATGAAATTGTGGCTCGCGCCACTGTTGATGAGGACCAAGATTGATTTCTCGCAAATACTCCCCTTCAATTTCATCGTTTTGGGCGACTTCATTCCCCCAGCCGACACCAATGACAAGTCCACCCCCTGCATTTCTAGTTTGAGTTCTACCTCTTCCCGAAATGCCTCAACTGCCTCTGTGCTAGAGACACCCTCATCATGGATTCCATCACAGTGCCACCTCCAAATATCATGAGCCGCAAACTCCTTTCAAGACACTAGTGTGTAGGGCTGTAAGCTAAGCTGCAGTGAAAGCAGCCACCCTCCTCTCTCAGGTGAACAAATTCTTCGTAAGATAACTATTATGCCCCTTTCATCCTTCCCCTACCAGTCATTCCTAGGGCATTTCGATTGTTGGAGCCCAAAGAATAGGTCTTTGTGCTAGTTGGGTCAATTATGTCTATGTGGTTAGAGTTATTAGGCTTGGGCCCAATTGCTTTTACATTATTGTCCCATGTAGCAAGGGAGCCCATTCTTCCTTGTACCCAATTCCTCCTCCGCTAACTGAACGATAGCTTCCCCCACCACTCCATTGGTGAACACATTCGTAGCTTCTTTGGACTACCATCTCTTCTTCCACATCGCAAGCCAACTCCATTGCTCGCAAGACCTCTGTAGGATTGTGGGGTCGTACTTTACTGCAAATCTCAATCCGTAACCCACCTAAGAAGTAGCCCAACATTTGATTCTCATTGACCTCGGGGGCTTATGCTACCAAAGCTTCAAATTGTTGAACATAATCATTCATTATTCCTTTTTGCCTCAAGGTAGAGGGGCGTTCGTCAACTCCCCCTTGTGTTCTGTCCCCATACAGCTGGATAATGGCCTTCGTTAGTGCCTCTCAGCCAAGACTCGACGTTGTTTTTCTCAACAACCAAAACCAATGCACAATTGTCGATTCCATGCTCCCGAAAGCCCGTTGGACCTTCTCATTCGATGGAATGTCATGAATCTCAAAAAACTTCTCTCTCACTATCCACCCTATGGGATTAAAGCCTTGAAAGGTTGGGAGTTCAGCCTTGGTTGTCCACGTTCATTCCACAGTGGAGCCAATACAAGTCCCCTCAATTTCGTTATGCGAGTGCTGTTACGAGTTGTCGTCTACGTTGTGCCCGCCTCCCTTGGGCACCTAATTCTTGATGATTGATTTGATTTCATCAAGACCCTCCAACTTCTTGTTCACCTAGTTGGTCTCTCGTCAAAGGTTCTCAAAAGATTTCTCCAGAGCTTCTATTCTTGCTTGCCATACTTATTAATCTCAGATAGTGGGGCGTAGCGACTGACCCTCCAAACTGCTATAGCACTATAGCGGGTAGCGCTACAACGCTATTATGCAACATAATTTGATCTGCCCACTATAAAATTATTGCAAACTCATGATTTGGGGTGGGTTTATAATTCAATGAGCAATGATTTCAAAGCATATTATTATTTAATACATATAAAAAATATGGATAATTAATTTTAAAATTAAAAAAATTGAATTATAAAACATACATAATTAACTCAAAAGGTGGTTACATAAAAAATGAATATTTATTGATCAATGAAGTGGTTACAGAAAGGTGGGTCTCAAGTGGACTCCCCTTCACACTGTTCTTTACTAGATTAACTCAAAAGCTCTCTGTTACAATGTTTTCCCACTCCTAATATACCCCTTGCCCGAGTCCTAATGGAATACTATTCACATAACAGCTCAACCTTGTGTAACTGCCTATTTACCCGTAACACCAACCTAATTGAGCCATGAAATTTCACAATTAAATATTTATTAAAAGGATGGAGAGCAGTGAGGATTTAACTTGAGACCACTTGGTCATTGGCTTTGATACCATGTTAGGCAACCAATTCAACCTAAAAGTTTCAGCTGTTAAGTGAAAGCCACTTTAATAATTTATAGTAGACTTCTTTCATAGAGACCATGAGCAGAACACCATAAAGAAGATAAAAAAAAATAATTAAGTTATAGATACTTTTTTAAGAATAAGTTACAATTAATCAATTATAACTAAAATGACAATAATTGAGATGAAAGATTGATATGGAAAATAAGGGTTCTAATTAAGATGTCCATACCGAAAGAATCAAGGTTACATCACATGGTGCCAATATAGAATCGTAATGTTTTCCTTCAGATCTTATATTGCTCGCGGAGTAGGAGTTACTCATACTGTTCACAGTTATCAATTCCATTGAACCATGAAACATACTGGAATAAAATTCCAGTCCTTTGATCACTACAATTTTATGTACTTGGTCCAATCTCACCTTTCCATTTGAAGACCTAAAATATAAGGAGAATAAATAAGTCAAATCTCAGCTGACACATAAACTGGCATCTCAAACTTAATTGCTTCTTTAAGCTAATTTCAATCAACCACTTGTATTAATTTTGGTTTGTTCACATACAATCTTCTGCAGGGTAGAGATAAAATTTGAAACCCGACAGGAACAATTCTAACACAATAATTCCCAAATAATAAGACTTTTTGGAGAAAAACCATGTTTAGAAATATTATTAGTGACAGAACGCAGGTTAAAATTTAACACTAAGAAACACTAGTTATGTATACAACGAGTAGGTATAAAATTAATCACCCGGAAAAACGTGTAATTTTTCCTAATTTTATAGTACTATAAATGAAACCAGAAAATCTAGAAGATAATCATGCCAACTTCCAAGCTGAATATTCGAAAGAGCCCATGAAGAAATCCAATCAACCTCTGTTTATACTTTATAAACCCTCAACAACGAAAAAAAAAAAAGTCTAATTATAAGTAAGATGAAAGTAAGAAAGCATTACCCAATAAGATTTTGTTTCACGGTCAAGTTTGAAAACTTCAAACCAAACATAACATGCCCCTGGAAAATTATAGTAAATAAACAAGTGCCGATCAAAGTTAGTAATTGATAAACCAATCCTTAAATCTTTAGATTTTAATGCAAGACACTGAATCCTATGAATTTGAAGAAACAAAATATATGACATAAAGATAATTATACCAGATCATTCTGAAGGTCACTGTATAAAATATCAAGATTTCGGATGTCCACTTGAATGCTGTCAAGGATCTGAAAGAAAAAGGGTAAAGTATTAGTGGTTATATCAATGGAATCATAAATCCTGATAAAGCATCAGCGATGCCAAGTATGAGTTTCTTTTTTTTATAGAAAAAGAAATTCATCCAGAAAGAAGCGATACACAAAAATAGGAGATTAGAATATCCTCCACAAGAAAACTACTGCAAGAGAAAACTACAAAGAACCAGCAAAACAGAACTAAAGAGTAACATTGCACAGTGGCAGTCCATTCTCTATGCGAATTTGAAACAGTGTTTGTTTTTCTTTCTTCATTTTTAAATCATTTTGCACCAGGAGCCACTAAAAATAAATAAATAAAATTAAAAATAAAAAATGAAGAAGAAGAAATTGATTCAACAGTGTATGTGCATGTGTATTAAAAATACCCCTTTACCTGAATAACATAAGGAAACCAAAACAACAATCCTATCCAACACAGGTATTAAAAGTTGATTGTTACCATCAGCTAAACATAAAAACCATTCATAGGCCAGCAGCTAACAACATAAAGTTTTAGAAAAGATAGTCCTTAATATGGTATCAGATCCTCTTCGACCAAGTGGCCAAGCGTATTATTCTTCATGCCTATTCTTGATTAAATCAAGTTTCAACACAAGGTACGATATATCTATGCTCTGTCCATGCTTCAAGCCACTTGAATGAGACGCAAGTTAAAGATAAAAATCATTCCTAGGAGATTAGGAGTCTTAATCTTTGAAATCAATGAGGAATAAGATTGGATTGACATGAAGAAACCAGCCTAGGCAGAAACAACAATAATATCTAGCTAAAATAATCCTACCTTTGCAGTGATGTGAGAAATAAATGATTGCCCAGCATGAGCATGACTACCTGCAGAAAATAAAGCAATTAATAAAAACAAAAGTATACAAATATTTCAATGGAACAGCATTTCGGTCTAACCTTAATAATGGATTGAACAGTACACAGATTTGGACATATCAAAAGCTAAAATTTATTCTTGTGAAAAACTATTCTATTCTCATAAATTTCAATAGAAAGAAGAGATAAAAAGTACAAAACCACTGCATTACAACATACCCTCTCTAGTAAAGGTAAAAGATTAACAAAGTAAAATATCTTATTTTTCCAAATAATCATTGTTTTATTACATCAAAATCACCTTTATCCTAAACTAGTTGGGATCGGGGGTCGATAAACCCAAATAAAAAGCAAAAAAGATTGAAGGAAAAGAAAATTAAGAATAAATAAGAGAAAAAAAATAGATAACAGAGAAATAAAAAAGAAGGAAAAAATAACTAGCATGTCCAAAGTCAGGATAAAGGAAGGGGGTTGGAATCCGATGTAGCAAGCCGGCCATAAAAAAACATCCATCTTTATGAGATGAACCCTTAAGGAATAATCATTGTTTTATAGGAAAAACAAACAAACTTGTCAATAAATAATAAGGCTTTCCAATGCCGATTTCTTCTTTGAGGACATGTGAATTAAAAAAAATGAAGGCAAGCATAGAAAGAGAAAGAAAGGGTGCAGAGAAAGAGTAGAGAGCAAGTCCCTGAATACTCTGTTACTGATTCAATCAATTAGTTCAGGGTATCACAGTGAAGGCTTTTATAGTTGTAACCGATAACTAACCGTAACTAACAGTCTGACTCAGCAAGAGTCTAAGCTGACTAACAGCTAACAGAAACTATTCTAACAGTTCAACAGAGTATTAGGCATGATAAGAAAAACTAATACTACATTAGGACTTTATCAGTTCTTTGGTGAAAGCATGGTATTATATAAGCTTATCCATCAAAGCCCTCTTATGCATAAAACGATGGATAACTTAATAAGGCCTTGGGAGTAGGATTAGGTTTCATTTAATTTTAATACATAACATATAAACTTCCCCATTACACATTGGAAGCCGCAAGCGCACCTGAACACGTCGGCGTTAACCATGAGAACCCAATTCTTGAGCCAGTCAACCACAATACCCAAGTATTCATTTCCGGCCAAATGCAGTTATTTCACCAACATCATCTCCCCCATGCTGCCATGGACAACTTCTTTGTCACCAAAATCTGATCAATACCACCTTCAAAGAAAGAGACAATGAAGTGGCAGTGATCAGGATCTTACTTCTCTGACCCAATCAATGCTTTGGCAGTGGTAGACATGGGTGGTGAGTTGAGTTCACTCTAGGAAGTTGATAATACTGACAGGAGCTAATATTATAAAAAATAATATATTTTAAATTTTATTTTAAAAAATAAACGTATCGTAATTCTATTAAGGATAATCATGAAACTTTGCATTATTATAAAAAAATTAACAAATTGAACCAGTGCCAAATTGTTTAAAATTATTCTTTTTAAAATAAATCAACTATACATATCAACATCAACATCAACAACACCTTTATCCCAAATTAATTGGGATACATATACATATAAATAATATAAAACGCATCAAAATTAAATTTTGATACCTAATTATAGTGTATACATAGTAAAAAAATTGTGCATATATTATTAAAATAATAAAAACTATTACAAATATATGCTAGTAAATATAACTTTAGACCATCTTGACAATACAGGGCTCATGCACAATCCCCCTGAATTTTTCACTGCTATTGAGTCTAGATTCTTATTAGAATTTTATTAATCAATGTGTGCAGACTTTTTTTAATTGAATGGACACAGTGCTCATGAGTTGTTTTTTTATGCCTTAAGGACATTTATTTCTCTAAAAATTAATTGAACACAACAAATTTAGATGTATATAGTATATTTTTAAGTAGAAGGTCTTTTGTAAATCTTATCCATTACTACATAGTGCATCACCAAATAGAAGATATTCGAACGCGTGAACCTTTAAGTCACAAAGGAGCAGCTTTACAAATGCTCCAAGTCACCTTCTTACCAAACATTATAATATTAAAAAAATTATCAAGTCTTATACAATCAGGCCCTATACTATCAGACCTTGTCCTATTATGCATACCAAACAGGCCCTAAATTGATTCCCTATCTCTCAAGTCAAGATTTGCTAAATGTTTCAATGTTGCTTTCTTCCAAAGGAATAAGTGGAATGTGTACACAAAGCCTAAGCAATGCACTTCAATTTGAACTTAAATGGCTTACCACACACACGTCTGGATAATTTTTCCAACTCTGCCGCTGCCAGCTTGGCCTTTTTGCCAGCAAATTCTCTTTTTTCAACAGCATCAGCACTCCACTATTACAACAAAAATGAAATGCTAACAAACTGTATAATAAATATGGTACATAATAAAATAGTTTAGCTGGAAATGATATGACTCAGTATCTAAGAGAATTTTGGGTTTGTTTTCTGTTTTCATTTTCAGTTGATATATTTTCACTAATAATTACAAAAATGCCACCATTTTTTCATTTTGTTCCTTTTTTTCATGATTTTGTAGTTTTAACATTTCCTTTACAAAATCCTAAAAACAGGAAATAAAATAAAAAAAAGGTCATAGTCTTTTAATTATTAATGAAAACAGGGAAGAGACCGAACAACACCCAAAATTTCTTTGCTCTTTGTTATTTACATTAATTCTTCAATGGACACATAAATAATGGTTAAAAGACATCTGATATAGGTTGTCAAAGCTTTTGAAACAGATGGTTAGACAAAGAGTGAAAAGATTAAGAAGTACCTCTTGATCATCTCGCTGTGATGCTGAAATAAAGACATCCTCTAAAATGATTATAATGGGGTCCCAGGGCTTTTTCCATGGAATTTTGATGCTTAGCTTCCCAACTCGACCTAGAAAAAAATTTCATGCGTCATTAGGAAAGAGAATATGAGAGCTCCTTTGAACATGAATTCTTCCATCCATGCATCTTCTAATCAAATCAGAAACAACAAAAGGTACAGTTAGAAATGGAAGAACTAGGGTTTGGAAGAAAAAAAGAGGTCAAGATTTCGGAAATGTGCTATGCTGGCTATTCTGTGGTGCATATCATTCGAGATCAGAGAACTGCTCAAGTCTTTCAATGTCTGCAGAAACTTTTTTACCAAGAATCAGGTTTTTGGCTTCTCTTTGGTGCTCGGCCCATGGTCTTTCTCGGGGGTTTCATTTTCAAAATTGCATAGACATTGGGCTGCCATTATGCACTGTTATTCTTAACTTCTGTTCTGCTGGTCATTGTAATTTTCTCTTTTAGTAGTTTCTTGTGGAGGAGATATTATCCTCATATCTTTGTACATCTATTCTTTCTCAATGGATTTTTTATATTAAAAAAATTACAAATCAAAGAAATTCACTAAATGTTTGTGGGAGGATGATATTGCCATACCTTGCTTTAGTGCAAATGGGAGCTGAAGATAATCAAATGCTTCAAGTATCAGCTCCACATTCTCCAATAGTACTTCCTCTATACAACAAAACACATTCAACTCCAAAATCATTTCTCAAACAACATTTATTTAATGCACAAAATATTTAGATTTTTTAATATTTAATTTTATTCTCCTCCTCATGATTAATCAGATTAGTGACATTACAATAAAATAGCCAAATAGGAGAACAGCATATGTACAGTCGAAGTACACAAGCATTGGAAAGAATTTAGCAAATATGCATACCTTGTTACCTTCTGCAACTCAAATGTTCATAAAGTTGAAAAAAAATCACAACAAGCTTACACATAAAAAACTTTGAATCCACAAATTAATAGAATTAACCTAAATAAACTTCCATTGTGGTCATGCAAAGCTACAAATAGTCAAATACATGAAAATGGCCCTTCAACACCGGTTTTTGAATTAAATTGCTCCATCAATATTCTTATTGCACATAAAATTGGCGTTTCCAAAGGACCAGTCTGATGTCAAAATTTGAAAGGTAAGCATTATGACACTTAGACAAGATAATCCCTAAAGAAGTACTACTAATATATCAGCGTACCAAGTCTAATTTTCAGCTGCTCCTTCTGGATATCTTTGAAATATCGGCCCAGGTAACCCAGAAGCAACTGATGAACCAGTCCTTCAAACATTACTGCAACAGAATGGCCAAGAACATGGTAAATCATACAAGCTCGTGCGATGTCATTGGTAACGACATGAAACAATTATTACATCAGAAAAGCATTGTCGTAAACTCACCTGAAAGAGGCGGCGGCGACGGCGAGAGAAGAACCGGTCGGAGGAAGACGAATCCTCCGGCACGGTGGCCTGGTGGCGGCTGTTGGAGATTGTGTAGTAGGTAGTGAGTGATGAGTGATAGGGTTTTGAATCCAATATGATGTTATCTCTTCTTATTTGTTGTAGTGATTCGAGTCGGAGTAACAAAGCAGAGAGATGAAGAGGGAAATAAAGAACAGTTTGGAATACGATAGAGTAGAACATAAGAAACGCTTATTTTTCCTTAAATTATGATAATAATTTTCATGGGGTTTGGTATTTCAGAAAGCGAAGGGGGACACTTGTCCTTCGCACTAAAGCCGTGTGTCATAAATTTGCCAAAATCTATATTATATTATAATTTACAGTCATATGAAAAGTTTTGTCATATATAATCTATACAATCATTTGGATTCTTTTATAAAATATAAATTTTTCGTCTGAAGCAACTTTAAAAAAAAAAAAAATTATATATGTCATGGATAAAGAGAGAGTTGATTTATAGTGCAATCTAATTAATTTAAGGATTCGTTTTTTGTAGTTAGTGCAGATAAGTTTTCTGCACTAAGTCCAATACGACGTCATTTTGAGACAGAAATTATGGTATTTTTGTAATTTTAATTTATTTCAGGATTATTATAGTCTTTATAATAATTTTTTAATTTTTCAATCGCAAAACAACGTCGTTTTGGAAGTAAATGCAGATAACTTATCTGCATTAACTGCAGAAATATTTTTCCCTTAATTTAAATATTAAATTAATAAAATTAATTTGAATTTCAAATTTAAAATTTACATTTAAATATAATCATGAAATTAGATTTAACGACAATTGAAAAAATTAAGGAAATCAATTAATTAGATTAATTAGCTCAAATTAAGAATACTAATTAATTAGATTGATGGGCTAAAATTAGAGAAATCAATTAATTAGATTGATTGGATAAAAAAAATACCCAATATGATTGGGAAATGATGGGTAGCCAATCAATTGGTTGATTAGTCATCATATTTAGTTTTTTTTTTCTTTATTTAAATGAGATATTTTTCTTATCTTGCTCCATCCAAATCCCTAGCCAAAAATTACTTCATTTTTTGGAAAGTTTGCTGGTTGGTACTGCATTTTTTAGTTTAGTAAATGGCTTTTGTGCACATATTTCTTTTATTCTTTTTCTGTTCTTCTTTTTTTGAAAAGTGTAATTCATATAATGATTTGGATTCTTTTAAAAAGTGTAAACTTTCTACCTTAGGCAAGTTTTTAAAAAATAATAAGTTATATAGGTCACAAATAAATTAATAAAATTAATTTGAATTTAAATTTTGAAATTTGAATTCAAATATAGTGAAGAAATTAGATTTGATTACAATTGAGAAAATTAATAAAAATAATTAATTGGATTGATTGTTCTCCCCAGTACCACCTTTAAGAGAGGTTTAAAGAACCCCCAAGGGTAGCTCAGTTGGCAGCTGAGCTCCTAAGGGATTGCTTGGTGCAGGGATCAAACTCTGCCTCAAGCAGTTTCTTGAAAAATCTTTGGGGGCTAGAGGATAAGCCAAAAAATCTTCGGTTGGGGGATTAGTCTCGTCACCGGTTGCGAAGCTTAGTGCACCCACTGTTACAATGAGGGGCTAGCCCAAACGGGCCGTACCCCGAGAGCATGGTGCCCAGAGAATGTTGAATGGGGATACCTCCTGGCAATGTACCAAAAAAAAAAAAAAAAGAGGTTTAAAGCCTTAATCCTGGACCCGCCCTGAATCACACTAGTCGCGAAGCATGAACCGATTGGAATATTTCCAAAAAATTAATTGGATTGATTAACTCAAATTAAGGAAACTAACTACTACTGTGGAAGCTCCTCTTTCTCTCTTGAACAAACCCTAGCCGTCAATCTCCCATGGCCCTTTTCTTGAGCTTTAGCAATATCTCTTGAAAGACTTTAGATGTTGAAGAATCGTTATTTTCCTACAAGACAACAAAGTGGTGTGGACTTTTATTGCAGAACTTATGTTTTCAAGTCTTGCATGGTGATCAAGAACGTTTTTGATCAAAGCACTCTTCTACCAATAATTACCTTGAGACAGACAGAACATCTCTTCTATCATCTTGTGTCTCATCCGCTTGTTCCCACTATTCAATATATCTATCACGCAACATCTCATCCATCTTCCTTTTTGTTATCCGAATTGCAACTTTCTCCACAATTAAGATGACATCTTCAACTTCTGGCTCAAAACAAGTAAGATTTGAAAGTAAGTGTAAAAAACAATAATTGAGAAACCCACACAATTCAGGTAATTTTGGTCTTTTGCAAACTATATTCCACTCAACAATTTTGCTTCATTTGTTATTTTTTTCAAAGAAACTATTTCATTTAAATGTTATACTCTACATAAAGTACACTGTGGTCTTTTGCAATGTACTTTAAATTTTATACTCAATAATTATGGCCTTTTGCAAACAACATTCCACTCAATCAAACATCTTGCTAGCATTGTTCACTTCACTTGTTCAGTTCACCTTTTGAGATGATGAATGAAAGATAATTGAAGAATTAAGAAATGACATCGTTGATGCAACTGTCATTATAGTAAAATATATTGGTCATAAAGTTTACATTATAAGAATGAATATGATTCCATCAAATCCTAGCATTTCTTTGGGATTTGAAAGAAGGGAATTTCCAATTAGTCTATACTTTGCCATGACCATTAATTAAAAGTCGGGAAAATCTCTTTCTTTTGTTGGACTATTCTCACTGAAGCCTATTTTTACTCATGGACAACTATATGTTGTTGTTTTTAAAGTAAAATCTAGGAATGATTTGAAGGGCCAAGGGAGAGTGGCGGCTAGGTTTTGTTTAAGAGAGAAAGAGGAGAGACACGTGTCATTCGTAGTAGAGCCTCGTGTATTGGGTGAGGTATGGATGAATATACCAAATTTATTTAAAATATAAATCATAACTAATATTCATTTTAATGTAATCCTTATAAAAATAGTGTATTCTTTAGTATCCTTTGCAGCTTCATAATAATGACAATTACTTTCACCAATTTCAAATTTGCTACTTGCCCTTTTCAATTTGCAACAATTGTACTGCTATAAAAGCGCCACAATGTAAAAGTGTGAGAGAGATTGGTGAGAATATAATGTTCTTTGAGTTGCATTAAGAAATGCAAAACTTTTGATGTATTGCATTAAAAATATGTTCTTATACTATGAAACATGCTTTGAAAAGAGGTTTTGAGGTGAATTATACTATTATAGACGCCAAAAAATGCATTATTATAAACATATATAGCACCTCAAACCCTCTTATCAAAGCATGTTTCAGAGCATAAAGTCTACCAGAAAAATCTAAGAGTCTCATGAAAAGCCTGCAATTGGATTAGGGGTGGCAATTTATGACACGACTCGTCAACCCAACCCAGACCCGACACAAAATTTTCGTGTTCGGGTCAACCCATTTAATAAATGGGTCGTGTTCGGGTTGGAAAAAAACAACACGAAAAAATTCGTGTCGGGTTACAGGTCAACCCGTGAACCCGCTGACCCGCAAATTTATAAGGTTATTGTGGTCATTTTATCTCATGATATAAAAAGTAAATGTTTAGGGTTTGAAATCTTTTATTTTTTCACTCTCCGCGGCGCATTCTGGATCCTTTTCTCTCTCACTTCGCCCTCCAAACACACTCTGCGCTACTGATCTATCTCTGCTGCCGATTTCTGTCTGCAAACTTTCTTTAACCTCAACCAAACAGGTATGAATTAATCGGTCAACAGTGTTAAATCTTTGCTTTATTTTTCTTCCATCTAGTAACTTGTTCCTGCCAATGAAACCCATCGTGTGTGTGTGTCTATATATATATATATATATATATATATATATATATATATATATATATATATATATAAATAAATAAAAGTGAGGCTTTATTGAATCCGACAGTAAGACACCCACCTATGCATATATAATATAGACATAAAGCCATTGATTTTCAATAGTCTCACTTCATCTGAATATCTAGAGACACAAAGTAACCTATTTTGTTACACAAGTTTCACCGGTTTCATTTTTTTAAATTTTATTTTTTTATCAGTTACTTGGTTTTATTTGTTATATAATTTTCAATTACAAAGTAACCCACCGAATTTTGTTACACAGGTTGTGCTCAAATTCAGGTTGTATCGTGTCAACCCGTATAATCAACATGTCGTGTTCAGGTTGAGTTTTATAACACGAATTGTTAATCGTGTCGTGTTCGAGTTGAGCCTATTCGTGTTCGTGTCAGACACAGGTTGACCCGAACCCGACCCATGAACACAAATTGTCACCCCTGAATTGGATGCCCCTTTTGGCATATTTTATCTTTGTGAATGATGTTATTTAAATTTTTACTTCCCAACATTAACAAATAATTCTCCAAAGATTTTTCAGTGAATAGATATCGAAAAGTTATGTGGAATAAAAAAAATCACCTGATACGGACTTTCGAGCAAAAAAAATCACTTGTTAATTTTTGTTTTAAAAAGGGACCACCGGAACGGGACTACATTATATTATGGAATAAATGTGTATCATTTTAAAGCAGTGTTTTAAAACTCGGACCGGTCATCGAACCGGTCGAGGTACTGGGTCACCGGTTCAACCGGGTTGAACCGGATTTACTGTTCACATATTAAAAGAATAAAAATATTACTTATATTAATAAAAATTCACATAAGAAAACTATCAATGAGATTCAAAAAATAAATTGATTTTCAATGATAGCAAATTTTTTATACTTCTAAGCTTCTAGCTCTAGACCATATCTTAATATTGGATTAAAATTTCAATATAAGTTAAATGCACCTTTTGTGTTTGACATGATACGAATAAATTAAATCATGATAACAAATAGTATGCATGAAATATACACTAAGAAAAGAGTGTCACCGTTATCATGATAACAAATAGTATGCATGGAATATACACTAAAAAAAAGTGTCCACCATTGAGATGAGATCATGAGACCATCAGTGTTTATCACCACTTAACTTCATGATATCATTATAAGATGCAACTAAATTACATAAACGAACTGCACTAATCTAAAATACCTTATTATTTTCACCTTACTTTTAATCATATTCATCATAAAATAAGAATATGAT